AGAAGAGGCCTCAACAGAAGGCTACAATACATAGGCTGTAAAAATTCTCAATTTAGGCTAGTTACTGAAAATATATGGTGATATAACTAGGCTTATTGCTAGCTTAATAAAAATCTTCACTAATCTTTCCTCACAGACACATTGTAATAATATAGCCGTGTAAAAGTTAATCTATCTATGTATATATATATATATATATATATATATATATAATAAAAATGTAACTGATCGTTGTCTGTATATGGAAGATATTTGAGAAAAAATATTATTGGGGGACTTTATCAACCCAATAGAACCCAAAACAATGATTTTAGATTTTTTTTCTGTTTTTGCGTTTGTGCGCGCTAATCTCAGAAATGGCTTAACCGATTTGGGTGCAACTTTCACTAATGAATTGTAGTAAGCTTCACTTAATATTTAGTGTTAGTCGTATTTAAGTCGATTCATAAATAAAAAAGTTATATCAACTTTGAACCACATTGAAGATTTGTGAGATAAAATGCTATATAATAACTATAGTTGAATTGGACGAAACTAGTTAACTAAGTGCAAGTCGGACTTGCGCACGAAGGTTTCGTACCATTATCGATGAAAACGGCAAAAAAATCATTTCTTTTGTTAATGAGCCCTAATTAAATCTATTTTATTCTGTTTTTTAGCTTTTTGTTGTTATAGCGGCGACAGAAATACATCATCTGTGAAAATTTCAACTGATTTGCTATCACGGTAGCATTTAACTGTGGGCAGGTCCGTCCGGGGTAGTACCACGACCTCACAGAAGACCGGCGGAAAGTAGAAGTGTTACACTTCTGCCTTTCGTCTGCTGAGTGAGGTAGCCGGGGCCCAGTTTATTAAAAGATGGCAACACATCTGCAACCGGTGTTGTAAATGTCCGTGGGCAGCAGTTATCACTTAACATCAGGTGAACCGTCAGTTCGTTTGCCACTATTTTACATAAAAAAAAATCACGGTTCATGAGATACAGCCTGGTGACAGAACAGCGGAGTCTTAGTAACTGTGCCTTAGTGCCATTTTAACCTTTCATACGGAACCCTAAAATGAACAGTTTTAACACTTCCAATGTACGTTGAACTCAGAACTATATTAGGGTTGATTCGTCCCGGAATCTGCTGAACAGAAAATGACCCAGGAACCAGGGAAAGCTGCGGGCTGATATCGATCTGAACGAAAATAAGAGGATACCTACTAGAGGATAAATACTTAATATTATAAAACTGAAGAGTTTGTTTGTTTGAACTCGCTAATCTCTGGGACTTATTGGTCCGATTTGAAAAACTTTTGAACTCTTAGATAGCTCATTTATCGGAAGGCTATAGGCTACTTTTTAAGCACGATATGATACATGCGGGCGGAGCCGCGGGCGAAAAGCTAGTGTAATAAGGAATGTGTAATCATGATGGTTCAGGCGAGTTATAAAATTATGCGCTCAGATAACCTCTACGTTCGCAGTGAACGGCGCTGCAGTGTCAAGGTCGGGTCAAGAATAGCCGCTATTTAAAAGGAAGCTCAATCATATGGATGCGTCGAAGGCATTTCAGTCAAGATTGTTTTCTTTAAAGGGAAAGTGATAAAAGAACAAGCAGTGTGTCTCTTCCAACGTCCCTTCAGCATTCACGAAGATGCCTAACAACCCCGGTGCGCCAAGGCCATGAACCTCGAGGCTAATCGGCAACAAGGTCTGCTACTGTTGAAATCGCGTTTTATGGCAAAAAAATAAAATCTCAATAAAACCAGTAGCATCAAGTTGTCGTTAATCGCTCTTTGTAAAATACCTCGTCCACACGCCGCGAGGCATACAAATTCCATGAAAACGCATAACTATCTAATAAAATGTGGGGTTTATTTGGGTGAGACCAGTACGCATTCAAGATTGGCTATAAATCAATGTTAAGTAACCACTGACAAAAATCGCTCCGGAATCTAACCCAAGCTTCGCACGATGCAGTATTGAATATAGAGTTACTCTATAGTTCCGTATGCGCTGCATAGTCGTTACGGGAAAGAGTTTGGCTTCATTCTCATATTTTCTATAGATTTATCACATGGCTAAGCACATCACGTGCTTTTCGCGGTCCACTCTATCTCCATGAATATGTTGCTAACATTTAAAAAAGTAGTTCTCCCTAAATAATATTTCATCAGGAGATTTTTTTGTTGCCGCTATAACAACAAATACTAAAAAACAGAATAAAATAGAAAATATTTAAGGGGGCTCCAATACAAAAAAGGCCAGCTGGTTGCTAGGCAACCTAGTATCTATAATACTTACCAATTAGTTTATTATAGATAATGGTTTCTAACCCTTCGCGAGTCCGACTCGCCCTTGGTCGGTTTTTTTGTTATTTACCTTATTATTATTACTTGTCGAACTTATCGCTCCAGTCTGTTCCGATTAAAACCTTGTACTGGATTAAGATAATAATATGCGAGCTACAATGCCGAGGCTTCTTGTATACTCGTTCATTATTTATTGTTATAATTTTTTTTTCTCACGGCATTTTTTGCGGGACATAATTAAATATTATAATTCTGCGTTTCACTCACCTTTATTGTGTTAAGTTAAAAACTTTTTGTTAGCGTCCAAGATTTCCCATCTTTATGGTTTATTCTGGCGCTGGAGTTAAAACATGCTTTGCATTTGCATCTTTATTTTTTTAATTTTGTGTTTTTGCTGAGCAACCTTCAATCACTAGCATCGTACCGATAGTAGAATGGGCACAATACTACTTTTTGTTATGAAACTGGCGTTAATATTAATACTAGATAATTTTATTAACACCAATAATAATTATTATGATAACCATTTGATGTAATAAAAATAATAACAATCAGGTGGTACAGAGACTAAATAATAAATAAAAATAAATTAAAAAAAGAACATATTTCAAAAAACTGTAGCACTAAAAAGTTACTTAAATACTTTATTTAATATAAATAATCAAATCTTGAAAATCTAACCTATATCACCTAAAATTTAACACACCCAGTCGACAGTTCTCAGGTAACAAACATAAAAGGAATAAAGTCGAATTGAGAACATCCTCCTTTTTTTAAGTCGGTTAAAAAGAGATATTGTCCCGTGTCGCGGAGTTGTTTGCATTCATAAATTGTGCGTACCTCGCACTTTATGTCCTAAGGTTCGCGGTACGTAGAAAATGCGGAAACCTAGTCTTCAAATGAAATAAAGTATATTTTAGTAAAGTATAATAATAGATATATATTCTAGGTTAATATTTAACACAGCTCAGTGTTAAGTATTTCGTCTAGCGATCCGATACAAAATACGGCATAGTTGCTTATTATTTTGAACCGAATACAACCGACGAGGTTCTAAATTCGGTTGTTTTTTTTATGTTTGTCCATGATAAATCCTTCACGTTTAACTTCCACGTTCTCCAGGGGGATCTCCTCAAAATAAAATTGAAAATATATAACGAGTGAGATATTTGAAGTCAGTTTTGTTTTCTGTTAATAAACATTTGTTCACGTGCGGGAAATGCCTACGCATGCCTGCAATTCGCCCCAATTCAAAACTTGCGATGTTGCACACTAGGCGTATATTAGCCGTCACCGGAATGCTTTCCAAATGTTAAAGAATGTAAATCGTACTATTGAATGTAGATACTTGTGAGAAGTTGCCAAGCGAGCTGGCGGTTCACCTGATGTTAAGTGAATACCGCCGCCCATGGACATCCGCTACACCATAGGGTTGCAAATGTGTTGATAACCTTTTGAAAATTAGGCTCCGGCTATCTCACTCACCAGACGAAACGCGAAAGTATTTAATAAGAAGACCGACGTAAAGTGGAAGTATTATACTTCCACTTTACGTCGGTCTTCTGTGAGGTCGTGGTACTTACCCGGACGAGCCTTCCCATTCATGCAACGGCGGAGGCTGCTGCGTGGCCGTATCACCCATATATTTATTTGATATATATCGTTATTCAATTTTGCATACTCTGAGAATATTTAACAAAGTAATGTATTTTGTTTTAACATCATCTGAAAGTAGAGATTTCAACGAACAAAAAGCCCAGCGCCTTTTTTAGAAAAGCTGATATTTTGACGCGAGAATTTTCGATTGTAAATTAGGGTGCTTTTTCGATATTGAGTCAAAATAAGGTGAAAAAAAAATCTTGAAAAATTTTTTTTCTCGTAAAAGAAAATAAAAAATCTAAAATTTGAATTTTTCACATAAATTTTGAGGTTATGTGAAAAAATTGTAAGTAAAATTTTGCAGAGGTTTTATCTTATGTATGACATTTTTTTGTTTTTTACCATTATTATTTTTTCCACACGAATGTTTTACCATAAATCGAGATAAACCGTTTCTTAACCTAAAAACTCAGCCCCTACCACTTCCCGACGCCAGATCGCCCGTAAATTATTTTTCCTTTCACTTTTGCCTCGCACTACCACTCTGTGCAATCAGCTGCCGCCGTCTTGCCGAACCGTTACGACCTGGGAGCCTCCAAGAAAGCATAAGTATGAGCTTATGAATACATAACTTATACATAGCTTATACTTTAACACCAGCCGACAACGCATTTGCAAGATAATCATGGGCGGCGGTGATCATTTTCCATCAAAACTTTTCTCGTGACGTACGATCCTGAGCTACCTGCATCGATTGACTTCCCGCACACTTCCTCAAATAAAATCATCCTAACGTCCATCCATTATTTGCATCGAAAAAAATAATACAAATAAAAAATATATGCAGATTTAATTTCCAGTAACACTTGGAGTTGAGTGAAAAGCGCAAGGAACTGTTAGATAAAAATTAACTTTTCCAATAGGGTCCGCCGACGGCACGTTATATAGGTACAATAAAGGAAACAGTTAATATGTAGTACCTATATTTTTTTAGTTTCGATGCAATAAAACAATACATTAAAGTTAAACTTAAGTATTTATTAACATTAATTGAGAAAACCTTATGAAATAAATGTATAAGAAAATGTACACGAATACTGCTAAAGCACGTCGGCGGGTAGCAATGCTGCGGCGACAGCACCACCTGTGAAAATTAATTAATTGTTTCAATATCTGCACTATTACGACTGAACATTTAAAAGGGGTCGAATAGTGGACTGAGGCGAGTTTTGCAACCGTCTGCGTGTTAAAGGGAATATGGGGCTATAATAATAATAGGGCTATGCTTCAGATGCCATCTCCGACTCCATGACTACTGATTTACTGATTTTAAAGTATACTGAAAAATTTCCAGCCTTATGCCAGTTTTCTCTGGACTGGTCTTAATGAGTAGACCAACGGTAGGCTTAAATTCTTTACAGAATGCTTAAATTTTACGGAGTTTATCGCGTTTTAGTTTGATTTTCGAATTCCCGGCGCTTCGAACACTTTCCAGAGTTCATGGTTACGACAGACTAAGTTGTTGTACATTGCTCTTACACGTTTTAGAAGTTTAACATACATAAATTGCACGTGGACAAACACTCAGATGCGAAACAACCATCTGTGGGTCACACAAGTAGTTGTCTCGTGTGGGAATCGAACCCACGACCCCCGCCGTCGATAATATCTTGACAACTGCGTCACGGAGTCATCAAATTCACTTCTCCCTTCTGACCCTTAGCGCGGTGTACCCAACCGGGTAGAAACAACGTCAGATTCATGAGTGAGTAGAAATGGTATACCCATGCACCCTTAGATATAGATATCTCATATATTTATTTTGCCCCCTTTTTAACATATTCTTGTACTTGGACCTATGTGGTGACCAAACAACCTTTATTACTTTTACTTGACTCCTAGTGCGTTTTATATTGTCATTATTGCTAAGTTTGCATTTATATGAATTCGAAAGGAGACGCTAGACACAAATCTATCGCCGCGCACCCCCACAACCATTGTTACTCTTCGTCTTCTCCATCAACGGTGTAATTGTGAAGTAAAGGGCTGCGTGAGTTTCTAAATGTATTGACCATTTTGATGTATTAGACTGCAAATTGTTCGCGCCGTGTTACGACCCCATCTAATCTAACTGTGGACCACGCATCACCTTCGGATGTTGCACAAATGGGCAAAGTCGTCCGGGTGAGTACCACGACCTCACAGAAGACCGGCGTGAAGTAGATGTGTCAACTTCTGCGTTTCCTCTGGTGAATAAAGTAGCCGGGGCCAACTTTATTAAAAGGTGGCAACGCATCCGCAACCCAACAAATGCAAATGTCCTTGGGTTATCACTTAACATCAGGTGATCAGCTTGCTTGCTACCTTCTCACATAAAAAAATGTCCATTTGAATCTCATCTGTTTTTTCTTTTTATCTTTGTTTTAAGATAATCGTTACTAAGTAGTAAGCATTAGTAATGTTTTTTAATGTAAATATTAAAAGAATCTCTTCGTATCAACTTCGAGATACAATCGTGGAATCAAGCAACTTTGACCTCATAATGTGTTCTTTAAGACATGTTCAAGTTTATATTATTTATTTCGAGCTTCTAATCAAATATTTTGCGACCAAGTTTTTATAATAACGCAACTATAAGCGTCGTAGTAGTGACGTAATGTTTATTTAAATAAATTTCACCAATTTTCATCATCAACATCATTTCAGCCTGTCAAACAGGCACTGCTGAACATAAGAGTAGGCCTCCCCCCTAGTCTGCCATGAAGTACGATCCATCCAACGACACTTGCATCCATCGACTTCCCGCAGGTTGTCACGCCATCTAGTTGAGGGTCGTCCTACACCGCGATGCCCAGTACGAGGCTGCCACTCGAGAACCTTTCTTCAGCAATTTTACGAAACTTTAAATCGTCAATTTTTGTAGATAAATGAACAAAAACTTTTGGCGCAGCGGGTTTCAAACCTGCGTCGTCTGGTTTCGCGGCCAGACGATTTACCAACTAAGCTAAGCGGCCGATGACTTCACAGCGCAAAAATCTTGACATCTATCTACGTTCGTCCTATTTCATTTAAGCAATGCTTGGCACCAGCTAGTGTGAATCCTTTTTAGCATACCACAAAGGTTTACAAATAACATTCAACGATGAATATTTTGAACGAGAGATGTTGACATTGATCTTAATCAATTTTACGAAGCTTTTCTTCTTTGCCATAATGCGCATAGCATGATAGCCTCGAAACGAATTGCACTATTTTGTCTTTCTGTAATTCTTTGACAACGCGTAGTTAGCGTTTTCGTACGCTGATAGGTTTAACTTAGCTCACGTTAAGTTAAATCTATTAGCGTACAAAACATACGAAGTAATGTTATTCAATTATATTCTTTATCAAATAGTCGATTCGAGCCTTTCGTACTCACTGACAACGAGACCGGCCGCGCCGTAGAGCGCCACGGAGCAGTGCTGGCTCATGGTGCTGCTGACGAGGTTGGTGCCGGCGAACGCGCTCAGCCGCGCCACCATCATTCCCAGACACGCCACCATGCCCCTACTCGCGAACAGGTGTTTTTTTGTTTGAGAAGATGGTATACGTATTGGTAACTCAAAGTATTTCTACATTGTTTATACATTTGCTAGCTATAATTACATATGTAGGACAATAATCATATTTATAGCTGCTTCTATAGCGCCTGTACCTGTAGGAGGTGGGGTAGAGGTCCACGAAGTAGGAGGACACGACGCCGAACACCATGGCGGTGGTGAGGAAGACGTAGAAGAAGATGAGGCCGGAGAGTGGCTCGCCCGTCTGGTCGACGGCGACCGCCGCCGCAGCGGACACCAGCAGGATGCTGATGGTCAGCACCTGCAAGGGCCAATCGTGGTAAACTGTCAACCAGTGTTGCTACATTTTAATGACATTTATGCATGCGTATGTAATAGAACAGTATTACATATGTGTGCATGAATATCATTCGTATTGCATCAATTAGTTCGTCTGGTTAATAGCGACGTCGTTGAAAAAGTTATAAATTAATTTTTTTTAGTGCTTCATTCTTTGTAGTTGCTAATCTCAGCTAAGTTAAAATGCTTACATAAATTATTTTATCTGTATTCGGTTCGAGTCCTTCGAAAAAAATTTCGACATTTGTAATAAACATTTTTAATTTGTATTATTACTTGTCGTTGTCGTGTAAAGTACTCTTATGTTTAAAATGTTCATAATTATAATAACTTAGAATACAGTGGGGCATACTGAAAGTTTAAAAAAATAAAAAAGCAACAACGGAATAGAAAAATTAAATTTTTTGGAAACTTAACTACTTTTATATTATTATATTACCCAAAACGTACTTTACATAAGATAGCTACTCCTTCAGCACCTTTGGGACTTTGGTCAATGTACCCGAGTGTACAGAGAATAATGGCCAATCGTATTTCACTTGGGCACGTCCTGAAATTCTGGAGGTTGGATCTATTGACGGAAAGTCTTTGAGTTGTCTCACCTTTCTCCTCCTTGCGCACTGAGATATGAGAGCGTTGAGAAGAAAGAAGGAGAGTCCGTGGGCGCAGCCGGCCCATATCGTGTTGTCCATAATCGTTCCTTGGCACTCAGAGTCCTCCTGCAATTAGTCAACGAACGTTTTACACTCGCGCAATAACATGAAATAATGAAATCGCCACTCGCCCTCGTATCATCAATTTGGTCGACATTCTAGGGCGCTTTCTATCGATTCTTCATACTCTTCGTTTTTTCTTCCTTCTATCATTTCCACACGTTCAAACGGTAGAACGGTTAACATACCTAACATCAGGTGACCCGTCTGCTCGTTTGGCAACTATTCGCATAAAAAAAATACAATTCCTCAAAGAGAATGGAAATAAACATACCAATTATATAACCTAGTCTAAAACGTGTTTCACTTATTATGTACACTTTTGAAATGACACCAATTTCCTTTGATGTACTTTCACTATCATTTATCCTCTCAAAGAATCATTAATTGAAATGACCATAATGGGGCAAGAATACAAGTTTATTTATTTTATTTTATTTATTTAATCTTTATTGCACAGAAAATTGTACAAAGCCGAGCTTAATGCTATATTGCATTCTCTACCAGCTAACCCTAGGTAGAACAGAAACAAAATGTCAAGGGCAGTAAAGTAGTTATATACGATACATAATTAAATAAATAATATGTAATAATTAGGTAATAAATCTAAAAACTGCCAACGTAAACATATATATAAGTATATATACATACATACAAACATATATATAAATATACATACAAACATATACACATAAATACATTTCAGATATTCATACATAGTAAATACTATTAAGTAGCTAAGACTCAGCAAGGATATGCTCAAACAGTTTTCTTTTAAAAATATTTTTTGTTGGCGATTGTCGCAGGTCAACAACAGACAACCTGTTCCAAAGTAAGATTGAAGTGACAGTGAACGAATTTGACATGAAAGAGGAGTGATAAGAGGGTACAGACAGTAACGAATTTTTAGAAGAGCGAAAATTGAGGGAATGCGAGTCCCCGAGGAACTGAAATCTTTCTTTTAGATAGGAAGGTGAGGAGGGGTCATAAAGGATTGAAAACAGAATAGAAAGGATACGAAAGTCTTTGCGCTGGCGTATCGTCAACCACTGTTTAACTTCATATGAGCAATATTATTCAAATTGTATTATTATACCAAGTTGCCAATCATCCAGAGGATGGACCCCGGTTACGTGTATTTCAAGCCAGCCTTCTGTTAGACCTTGGTTTTATTTCGGACAAGTCTGCCAATCCGTGCAACAGTAGAGGCTGCAACGTGGTCATACCGCAGTAAGATTATGATAGATACATTATCTATCATAATCTTACTGCTATTCAGTAGTGCCATTCTCAACCCGCATTACTTCTCTTTCAGGATCCAAGCAAGTGTTCATTAACAGTTAAAAAAGCTATGGTGACGCGACACATCTCTGGCTAACTCTTCTATAGACGCCAATATATGATAGAGGAATAAGATGTAACAGTTAATTCCTTAAAACAATAATCGTATTTCCAATTCAATAACGATGCGTGTATGCGGTTGGTCGGTAGACCCGCGGCCTTATTAGCTAAAATAAGCGATCAGCGAAAATTGTGCAGACGACGCGCGATCGATTGCTTTACGTCAAAAAAAATCGTATTACGTTACTCATCGCTAACCTATTGTTCGCTGATCGTAAATATGCACTTTTGCTCGCTGAACTGTCAAATATCGATCGCAATCGAGTAGCAATAGCAATAGGTTAGTAAATGAAAAGTAGAAAGTTTCTAAAACAAATGTTTCTAATTTTATTTAAGTGTATTGAAAAACAAAAGCATGTGCGGAGTCTTTTTAATGGTTTAATCTTTCAAGTGCTGTTATAGTAATCGCTGTAACAAGTGGTCAAACAAAAAATATACAATACTCTCTAGAGTAGACGAGAGTTAAAACTTAGTGTTTGCTTGGATTTTGAAGTCGCAACTTAAAAGAGGAATAATAGTGAAGTGAGTAAACAACTACTTTTAATTCAGCTTTAAATTATTACGGCTAGAAATATAAATATTAAAATATATCTCTTTTTCAGTAGATATAAAAATATGGCAAATAGACGACGATATCGAACGACCAACTTGAAGAACTTGGAATTTCTTGCTCGGCAACTTGGATTAGCCAAAGAAGTAGGACTTGGGGCAAGATCTAAATTGTTGATAAGCAATGGAATGAACTTGCCACCAAGCTAAATTCCTATGGATCTGGGTCTTCAAAATCTGAATAACGATGGAATAAGATTTGTTTTTAAGGTATATTCTGAGTAAAGTAATTTATTTTTAAATAATTTGTCTAATTTGGTGGTCTCTGGGTCAATACTCCTTCATTAGCTTATTTTTTATCAAAATTTTTGTTTAATTGTGGGGGACTGGAGATAAAACACACAAGAGCAAGGCTGGTGGTGGTCCAAGTAGCCAGATAGATTTGCAGACAAAAAAGTCTTGGCTATTGTTGAGGAGCAAGTTATATTTGGTGATAGTGAGCACAGAATTTGTGTATTTGTTACTTCGTCAACATAAACTTAACATAGTAATATATTTTTAAACCAATATGTTGTTATATCTCTATAGGGCTATTTGAATATTATTAATTATTATACTATTTAGAACACACAACTTGAAAAGAAAATGTGTTGCAGACTGTAACTGAACCAGAGGAAGTACATGTAAAGGGTAAAATTTTGTAGTACATAGTATATTTTAAAAATATCCCATACTTTTCTTTTATATACTATTTATAGAGTTTGTTTTAGATAATGTGATAGAAAATATGAATATTACAATAACAGCAAGCTCATCATCAACACAAGGACAAACAGTCTTTTTTGACATTCAGTATAATTGATTTCTCTTTCATGTCTTTTATTAATTACAAATGATATTTGATAAGGAAAGGCTAAGCTTTTCACAGAATATACATATAAATGTATTAAACATACTTAACACTGAAATATCTATTTAAATTAATACTTATTTTTGCAGACTTAACTCATGGTACAACTTCAGAGATACAGTTAGCTTAACTATCATGGACTGGTTTTTATATAGATATATTACATTTATTATAGTTACCTACTAATTATTTTCCAGAATAATATAATTACTATTTTACTTGAGCAATCACTAGTAGTAATAATACTCAACTTTACAAATAGGTAAATTTAAAATTTATGTATCTGTTAGCAAAATGGTGGTTAAAATATATATTTTGTTTGTAAAATTGTTTATATATATAATATATTCAAGACTCACATTTATTGTCTATATTTTTATTATACATTTGACTAAACTGTTTCGTGTTACAGAAGTGCAAAGCTTTGTCAATATCTGGCCATCTGTTGATCATATTGACACATATAGACATAAATGAGTTGCAAGTGCTTATAGTAAACAACCTGTTAACTTATTTTTAAAAGGATATTTATCAAAAATTATTAGCAAGAGATAATGCAATATTCTTATTACATATCAGGTCAATCCAGGAGAAAGAATGGGTGATGGAATGCAGAAAATAAACTTGCAATACTGCACATATAATGGCAAAAGCATCTCGAGTGTACAGGCATGCTATTGGAGTTTGTGCACAAGTAAAGTGAATAAATTCATGTGTTGCTGAGCTGAGTCAAAGCAGCTAATAAAATGTTGTAATGAAACAATAAATGTACTATAAATCAATATGTTCTTTTATTTTTTTTCCCGCAGTAAGTAATAACCAATTAACAACAAATACCACATAATTAGTACACTAACACTGTTTGGATTAACCAAAGCAAATACAAATAATTAAAATGAAATATTAACAGCTATAAGATAAATATTTTACATTACTACTCAATATTTATTAGTTCATATAATATAATATTGCATATCACATACAATTTTAGTAACCATATGTTGATTAACTTACATAACCATATAATATTATTTTGTATTATCTTGAAAGTATATTTACGATTTGTATCATTTATTTATTATTTTATTTATATTACTATTTAATGTTAAAATATTGATTTATACTATAATAACTTTTTATTAACAAATGCTTTTGTAATAAATATTTTTACATGCATTAAAAATCAAAATAAGGTTAATGTAGAGCTTACAAATTATCGTTATAAAGGTTACTTTTTTGAGGCAGTTGATCATTCTTCATTCATATTCAATTGGGAATAAAAATGGCATACACTGGGCTAATTACTAAATACAATTTAATAAATTACATAAACCTATTGTAACACCCTATAAGGGAACAAAATGCAAACACTATTTGCGTGTTTGTAAAATTTGTAATAAGGTTATTATAATATATGTGTTAAATTGATGCTTTTAATAATACTGAAAATTTTGAATTATAAGACAAAAGTAAATAAAAAATGGAATAGAAAAAATGAAAAGTGATAGATGAAAAGTTCAATTTATAAATTATAGCAAGGTTTTATATAAAGCAAACGGCACAAACACCCTAGCTTATTACTGCCTAGTATATAATTCATATATCAATACCCTAGCTTAAACCAAATCAGTATAATAATTATATTCAGAAAATTAGTATAGTACGTTAAGATCAATGTCTTGGAGCCAACCATAAATATTGCACGATAAGATTTCTTGTCTTCTTAATGTCTGTAGCTTTATTTGATCTCATTCAGTATGAAACAGCTCTTTAGGAGTCTGTACTATTATGAGTATTGATGTCTAAACTCCGCTTCGATAACCTCCATAATTTTGGCTTGAGTCCGAAGAATACGTCTCAAGGATATCATATTATGGTTAATTTGTTTCTCCTCAACTTCTAATGCTTCCACAAGAACAGTACGAGCTTTTTCAACACTTTCACAGTTCTTACTCAATTTAGGCACTTAAACCAACTTTTGTCACTTTTATACGCGTTTTTGTTATATTTGAACGTTGAATTGTACAGTATATATGGAGGATATAAACAATAATCAAATCACGCGCGGATTAATATAAAAAGGACAAAAATTACAATAACGAAAGAGAAGCAATCGATGGAACAATCAATATAAAGTTATCGCAATTTGACGTTAGAATCGTTCGCTGATTGCTCTCGGATCGCTGTCAAAAATAATACGTGATACGAAAAGAACAATGCCCATTTTTGACCTGATTGTGTATAGAGATGAAATAAATATTAAAATTTAGCTAATTTCATTTTATAGTAATTACACTAATCACAATGTTAAAAGAAGGTCGGGAAAAAATATTTTTTGATATTTCTTTACGCTTATTTTACTTCAAGGGTAAACATATTACCATGTTTTGAACGCATCTTAACAATCTACATAGGCCGTTCCATTTTTCACACTACCTACTTGACTGTATTCAACTTTTTCTGAGTTTTGAACGTGTTTTTACGTGTTAGAGAAGTGAGTAAGCACGTAATTAACAGTATTTGTATAAAAATTAAGATCTTATTAGTAGTATAGATTTATTAAAAATAAAATAATAAATTATTAATGCAGCATGTAATAAAGTTCGCACGGCCCTCGTAAATGGATTTTTTTGACATTTGACAGTTCTGCGAGTGACTCATACTCATCGGTATTCGCCAGTAATTGTGAGTATTTATGTTTATTATTTTTAATCTAAAAATTTCAATCATGTCATAATCAAACTAACAAAGCTAAATTATACCTGTGACATAACACAAACAACTGTTCAAAAGATCTATATATCCAAAATATGTATTATAAACTCAATATGTTTTTTATTTCAGATTACTGAGGAAGATTATATTTGTAAATCTTGTAATGAACTCTTTATGAGAATAATAAACCAGGAATTAACAAGCTGTGATGTTGCTCAAGCTTCAGGATTATCTCAACCAGGTCGAAGAACAGTTTTTGATAATCCTTCAGAAAAGCAAAGACAGATAAATGCTATTATACAAACAAGTTCACAACATCACATATTCATGTTTCTACATTGTTAATCATTTGCCAATATAAAACTTGATACTATTACTCTAGATTATTTCTCTTTTGTATTTTAGATGTAAATTAATCTGTTATAAATTGACTGATGTTGTAATAATTTTAACCACAAATGAATACATAATTGATTTTTTTTTAAATATATTTTTAAGATGAATAGTAATTATTGCTTTATTACTTCTTTTGTAGATAATCATCATCTGATAGAATATGCCATTCATGCTGGATGAGTTGTAAGAGTGCTGCCACACATATTAGGCATGTTGCTGAAGTTTGTGGTGTTTTTCTACTGAAGATAATTTATTTTTTTATGTTTCTGAGATTAAGTTATTAGTGAACTTATACTATTTGCATTAGATACCAAATAAGGCAAGCCAAATCTTATTATGGCGAACATATTCGCTTTCATGGATCATATAGAATAGAAATATGTAGGGACACAGGAGTTTTCTAGGAATAATCTGAGAGGAAGTGGTGACATAACACTAATAAGAGGAAAAATTAAGTCCTGGCACATTTAAAGAAAACAATATTGTTTACATTTTAATAGAAAATAATGTGTCTGGCAGAGCTAGTATAGTCAAATACTGTTGTAATTGTTTAGTTGGTTGGCGAACCATAGGATGTTGCACTCATGTTATGACTAGGTGGTACTTCAGATGAACTATCAAGAAAATATCTCTGTTATAGCAGAATTTCTGGATAACATAGTTATAAGATATTTAAGTGAAGATGATGATAATTAATAAAGCAACATAGTGTTTTATTTTTTCCCTCGTTTTATTCATCAGGTATTATAATTATCGATTATTATGTATTGTAGTGCAGGCCAATGAAATGTGTAGGGCAGATAAATGATCACTTTTAACTTACGTTTTTTTAGTAAGTACTTATGTGAGCTGTTGAAATAGCAGATAATGCTCTTCACTCAATTTATAGTGACAATAATAGAGTCTAAGCAGTGACGTAAGGGCAGTCGGTTTTTAGGAATTCACAAGTAAAAAAGACGTTTTAGACTAGATAGGCTAATATTATTATTTTAGAATAAACTTGAGCGTAAATAGTTAGTTCTAGCACATTTATTTCGTTATATTAGGTAACTGTAAATCCTAACCTAAAAAGTAACATTTTTTTATAATTTTTGGACTTCGTAGACCAGCAATCGTAAAAATGACTATATGATATTAATTTACTAACTTAAAGGTAGTCTTTCTGCTATACCTTGTAACTATACATACACTTTCATTATCAGGTTTTCAAATGTATGGGAAGTGGGCATTGTTCTTTGTGTATCGCTTTGGTCTGTATTAGGCTATTGCACTTTTTAGTTCACTGATTGTTCTACAGAGGCAGTACTATCGTCATTATGTTTTCGCTTCGCTATTGCTGATACATAATACGAATTTGCGATTATTGTGCAATAATTGCAATTTTTTCGCTATCGCTTTGCATTTGCTTTTTACGTAATAGGCCTGCCGGTTTCGATTTCAGGAAGACGTAATTAAGCCTAAAATAAAATATAAAGGAAGCCATACCCTATTGTACTGTTCGGTTACGGTGGAATTGTCGCTATCGGCCATGTTGAAGAGCTCGCAGAAAGCGAGGTTCGCCCCGCCGCTGGCGTACGACGTGAAGAACACGTTCAGGATCGTCGGCAGGATGATGGCGAAGCTATTGTTCCTGAAGTGTTTAGGGAGGAGGTATCAATAGGCAATTCATTATACAATATACATTCGCCCAAACATTTTTTTTTAGAAAACATGCTTGATTATTTTTTATTATTTTCTATAACTTAAGTTATTAATTATTTGTGTCTCTAGTAAGTAAAAAAAAGCATGCAATGTATTTTATACATATAAACCTTCCTCATGAATCACTCTATCTAGTAAAAAAACCGCATCAAGATCCTTTGCGTAAGAACTAAGCATACATAGGGACAGACAGACAGCGGGACGACTTTGTTTTATACTGTGTAGTGATAAAACTAAAATGTTTGATGACCGTAAAACTACATGATTCACTGTCTTATTGTGATCGACAAACCACTTGTTGCATTATGTTAATTACAATCTATGACACGTAATGCGTACTGGTGTTAGTTCTGAAATAGCCTACGATTTCACCCGTCACAAATGAAGTGTTTAATCAAATCAGAAGTATTTAATTAAAACAATAGTACTATTGCTCTATGTAACAGGTTTTCCGAATAACTTACGCGATATAAACAACGAAGGTGAGATAATAGAGGAGGAGCGTCCTCCATAGCAGAGGCGGCTTGAAGAGAGGCGCTATCTGTGTCCAGAGTGAGTGCAGCGAGAAGGTGGCAACGCTCTCTTTGCTGCCCTCCTCCAAATAGATGTCCTTGACCTGGAGCCAATATAAGCAAGTGGCATCCAAGTGATCCAGTCAAATTCTAGAAGAAGGGTAGACACTTTATGAGCGTTTTTATTGCATAGCTTGCCTTGCCTGACTCAGTGGCGCCGTTGCTGAACTATCGGCTTCGGCGTCGAGGGTTATGGGTTCGATTCCCACATGGGACAAGTGTTTGGGTGACCCACAGATAATTGTTCCAGATTTGGGTGTTTGTTTCCCAAGAAGGGTTGACGTCAGGCAAGCGGCCGCTCGTAAATTTATAGCCACAACAGCTTACAACATTATTCACATGTTGTGTCGTCAGCTCCTAGGTGGGATAAGGATGTTGAATGTCAATAGGCGGCGGTTATCACTTAACATCAGGTGAACCCCTAACTCGCTTACCACCTTCTCACAAAAAAAAATATGCATCGAGGCAATTTGATAAAGTATCGATAACTATTAAGTAAAGATGTAAATATAGATAGATAGTAAAGATAAAACTTACAGGAAACTTCTCCGCCTGTCCGCCGTTCCCCACATATATCCTCCGCAGGGCTTCCACGGCCTCTTGGCTTCGGCCAACGTTGGCAAGGAACTTGGGACTCTCGCTGAAGAAGTACAGCAAGATTGCGCTAAGACCTAACGGCAGCGCCATCACAAGAGTCAACAGCCGCCAGGGACGGTAATCTATGCCCAGCATTGGGATAGTGAAGTCAAGCTTGGTGATTAAGTAGCCCCAAACTGTAAATACCAAAAGTAAAATAAGTACATTTTTTTCAGGTGGTATGCTCGTAAGCCGTATCAGCCGTGATAGCTCAGTGTCCGGGCGCTCGCCTTTAATTCAATATACTCGAGCAACCTGAGTTCGATCCCCGGTGCCGGCACCAATGAAGTTTTTAACTTTAAGTGCTGACTTATCACGTGCTCCGCGGTGAAGGAAAACATCGTGAGGAAACCTGCATAGTTTCGAAATAATAACAAAAAAAAAATATATTTCGAAGATATGTGAAGTCCGCCAATCCGCAGTGGGGCAGCGTGGTGGACTATGCCCTGATACCCTCTGTAAAGAGGAGGCCTTTGCCCAGCAGTGGGACATGTATAGGCTGTTACTTTTTTATGCTCGTAAAAAAAGTAAAGTACAGAAACAGCCTATACATGTCCCACTGCTGGGCAAAGGCCTTTGTACAGAGCGTATCAGGGCATAGGCGACCACGCGGCTCCACTGTGCGGACTGGCGGTCTTTAAATATCTTCGAAATATTTTTTGTTGTTATTTTGAAAATGTCCAGGTTTCCTCAAGATGTTTTCCTTCACCGCTGAGCACGTCAAAAGTCAGCACGTCAGCACTATCAACATAATTGGTGCCGGCACCGGGGATCGAACTCAGGTCGCTCGATATGGAATTAAAGGCGAGCACCCGGACACTGAGCTATCACGGTTCTCTCAATTTGGGTTGGGTATGCACGTATGAATTGTTAATACAATCACCGTAGCATGAAAAGTACATGTACTATTACTGAGAAATATACGACGGTCTCTTTATTTTGTAAATCAACTAATCGTCGATGCTAATTGCCTATTGTTGCGTAATTTTAACTCTTAAAAGTTTTTGCTTCAGATTTAAACTCCACGAGTTTATTTATGTAATAAATGTACATCTTTCAAATACATATAAATCAAATAAATAAACTGGAAAAGTATCACAGTCTGAGACACACGGCTTCAACAACAAAAATGGAATGTATAAGCTGTTTTTATAAACATTTCGTTTCGTCTGGTGAGTGAGTTAGCCGGGGCCCACTTTATTTAAAGGTGGCAACGGGCGGGGGTTATCACTTAACATCGGGTGAACCGCCAGCTCGTTTGCCACTTTGTCACATAAAAAAATATCAAAATAATAACTGTAATAAATGGTGGGTGTCAACATCAGGGCGCTGGTCATCAGGAGCATGTAGCGCGCCCTGGATCTGGAGTTGCAGCATTCCCCCAGGAAGGCGTACGTCGCGGATTCTGCGGCACTCGACCTGAAATTTACAACCTGCCTCGTCAGCTTCAACGTAATCATAATTGTAATCTAATTGATGTAGAATGTCGGCACGTATGAAACTAATGGATTTCTTCCATTCGACTTTAATGGACAAAAACTTGTTCGGCCCGTCGCTATTGTTACAAAATTGAACGGCTTATTCTAGTGCCTTTAGCTACGATTAGATCCGACATTATGACAAAATTTATTCAAATTTTGTACACATAGCACAATAACAATATTCTTTAATTAAAAATAGTAGTATTCATTAATATAATGATGCATTTTATAAACAAAACCATTTTCGGATAGGATTAGATTCAGCGTGTTACCAATTCGTCTCCTTATAAATATAAAATCTTAGTTATAGATGCTACTTAAATATGGACATTGTTTCTTAAGACTCGGTTTCTTTTGTTTCCTGATTTCGCACACTCTACAGATAGTTGTTCGAATGTTGTTCGTGGTTTGAATATTGTGTGGATGTTTTCTTTAAGACGCTTTTAAATGTGTTTTGTGTTTCCACGCGGCAGCGTGATTTCATGGCCAAAATCATTCAATTGTTCTTAATGTCACAGTAGTTACGAGAAATAGTTTATTGCGAATTAAGGTCTTCAGCTTCATCTAATCTTTTACCGTTACAGAAATTACAGCTATTATCTAGGTAATATTACGAACTAATTTCATAAGTCAGATTTTTTACTAACTTCGTTTCTTGAAGGTTTCAATCAATACTTTTGTTCTGACTTTCCGGTTGATTAATTGCTTCTTTGATAAACATAATTAATGTTTTGGAAATCAATTTAATAGTCCATATAGTTGCAATAACTATATGGCGGAATGTAAGACTATATTTTTATCATTTCCCATAACCAAACCTACTCACATAGCCGAGCTGAGGAATCGGAGTGCAGCAAGCACTTGCCAGCTTCGAGCAAAGCTGCTCAGGACTGCGCTCACGAAGCTGCCACACATTGAGCACATCAGCACCAGCTTCCTGCCGCGTGTGTCCGACAGGTAGCCCCATGGGTATGACATAACGATGATTCCTGCGGCAACATTAGCGCACAGCTCATTTAAAAGCAACTGACAGTAGAGCCAGCCGTTTACTACAATAGCAATGACACAATTCAGTGGTGTTAGGCCAAGCTACAGTGTTCGCTGTTGCACGAACAGGCAGGTCCGTAAGGATAGGTACCACGACCTCACAGAAAACCGGCGTGAAGTGGAAATGTTATACTTCTGCGTTTGGTCTGGTGAATGTGGTATCCGGGGCCGACTTTATTAAAAGGTGGCAACGCGTCTGCAAACCTACGAGTGTTGCAAATGTCAATGGGCGGTGGTTATCACTTAACATCCGGTGAACCGTCAGCTCGTTTGCTACCTTCTCACAAAGAAAAAACAATAGAATTCATAGTGTGGTTATAAGAACCGCGCTCTTTAAAGCCAAAAACGTGAGAGACTCGAAGCACGTGGACAACACAATTCGCTAATTTGATCAGCGACCGTAAAATATACACACAAATGCAAATCGCGCAGGAATATAAATACAAGCAAGTTGCTTGTATTTTGCGTCTAAATTAACGAAAAACTTAATTGTGATGCAAATTGAATTCGTGGTACCATAAATAATTAACGTTTTAGTTTTCAGTTCATTTTAAGCGCGGAAATTTGCACTAAAATAAAAATTACATTTCAATAGATAAGTTCTCTTTTTTTTTTGTTGTTACTTCACAGCTCATCGTTTAATTCAACGATTTTATTTGATTCACCTTATTGAAAGTCTCGGAACTTTTTTATATTATAATCGTCATTTTTTATTTATAGTAGTAGCCGAAAGCTACCTTAATTAATTCACGTCTTAACATGATATTACATTAGATTTATTGTTTTTTTTTTACGCGAATGTAATATATAATTAAATGAAAATATTTTACGGATTTTATCGCGTTTAAATTCCCGATGTTTCGAACCCTCCAGCGTTCATAGTCTGTCCCGTCTTTCCCGTGACCTTAATATGGGAATTTAATAATCAAATTATATATATACTATACGATAGCACCCTTAAAAGAGTTTCTTTAACTAAATATAAATCTGGAGTAAATATTCTTGCACCATGGATAGTAAATATTTAAAATAAAATTAATTTTCTTAATATAATTATTTTTCATCAGAACAATATTTAAATATTTTAAGAAATTGTTGTCAAATTTTAAGAGATTTTATTCAATATCAGAAATAGTATAAATCCTAAGTCTGCTTCCTATATATTTAATGCTATAAATTGTAGTGATGGTCAATTATGCACTTCTTTTAATATATCAGTTATCGAAATGTAATAAATTCTAAACAACCAAATGGTTCATGTCCTTTACGATTTAACTTTCACACGAAATTTTGAGTGAATTTATTGACATATTGAATTTTTTTGGGAAATGATCGTACATACTTCCATTCTTTTTTCATTATCTTAGTAAATTTAGAGATTAATCTGATTATTTGATGCCATCCGCGTAAATCTTAGGTTTTATCAGTGTATCACACGCGAAAGTTTGTAATGCGTAGTTATTGAGAGTTAAGTGACCGAATTTAAACGATGATGCTGATACAAATAGATAAGTGATTATATGTGTGAAACATACACATTATCTGTGAAATACACACACACAACACACACATTTGAGTGTGTGTGTTGATAAAAATTGAAGTAAAAAAATAAGTTGTATTTCCAAGTCCTATATCACTAATGCCAAACGGGTTACGTAGTAAAATTTAGTGCTAACATCGTATATGAAATTAATTCAGTAGACACAATTACAGAACAAATTTAAGACAAAAGGAAACTCAACTCAATGTTATACATAGGTACGGCGAGGCCGCGACCTCCAATTTCCTACAATTTGTTTTCCTTTTAATCCATTGTCGTATTCCGTATGCTTATAAAGAAAAATTATTATCAGGAAAGACTTACGTGTTGTATTCCTGACTAAATATCAATTATACAAAACACATTACTGTCAGTATTTACATATTGTCATTAAGTCTCATCATTAGGGGGGGCTTAGCTGCAATATAGATCTTGCCATCGTTAAAATGATCAATGTAGTTTTTTGTTAGTTGTGGTGCCTAATGGTCGTTTGACGGAGCGCATTGAGACAATCCTTGACAGTGTCGTATTGTAATGAGCTATCGAAGTTATGGGTTGTCAGTGAAGTCGTTAGGATAACGAACAGTCGTCACTTAACCAACTTTATGATTGATGACGATCCACGTTGTTAGAATAATTTTTATCTTTATTGATGTTAGAATAGTTGTATCACAAGTTTGCACCCGCAGCTATACCTGATGTTAAGTGATAACCGCCGCCCATTGACATTTGAAACACCCGTAGGGTTGCAGTTACGTTGCCACCTTTAAATTAACTTATCAGACGAAACATAATAGAATAGAATTGGCATGTCTCTGTACATGTTTGAAACGCGGATATGTCAGCCTTTAACAGTAACCGCGAACAGAACAGCGTGAACCGGAAGTGTTATACCTTTGCGTCTGTGAGCGAGCTAACGAGGGCCCAATTCTTTATGAGTAGGCATGGTCTTTAAAATACATCTAAAGTAATTTTAAAAGAAATCTTTAACAGTAAAGAACGCCGTGACGAATTCACAAACGTTAGCAACAATTAAGAGTGTCAAGGAAATGCTTCCGGTAGACTTATTCAACGAAAGGAATGCAAAAGTACATGTTTCATTATAATACTTATAGTTCACACTAGTATCTTAATATTAACACCCATACAGAATCATAATACTGACGAGGCTAGTTCTTATTAAAGTCAATATTTGCTATTAACGTGTTTGAAATAAAACGAATTGCAACTTTTCACATCAACCCGTTAAAAAATCTAAGTGGGATTGGCATACAGTGTTCATCAAATACTAGGAGCCCTGATTAACACTAAATTGCGAGTCTATGCGTTTGCAATTGCGTAATCTTTTAGCGTTACACTTTTACACCTGTTTCCACAAATGTCAAGTTACTATTTGCTAATCCAAAGAATTTATTAAACATTCTTTTGATTAGCAAATAGTAACTTGACAATCCGCTAAACAAGTTATCTCTAACATAGTGATAATGTATGTATATAAGCAAAATGCTTCCATATGTTTGTGTCCACTAGACTTAAAAACTAGTTGAACAGGGAAGCGGACAGCTTCAGCAAGTTTATATAGCTTTAACATTTTATTATTGAAGTGAAACTTCTTTATCGGGGTTGGAAAAAAATTTAGTGTAACATTTTTGCGTTACGCGCCATCTTTTTCTTATCGGTTTTAATAGTTGACGCTAGATGGCGTTAGTTCCTTTGTGTGTTCATAACAATATATATATATATATATATATGTTATATTAAAGTGATCAGCAAAATCAAAGGGTTTATTTTAATTCTAATTCTAAAATGTAAACAATATATTTCGTATTTCAGTTACCATAAGCCATTAATAACACAAATATATAACAACGACATCAATGATAGTAATAATTCTATTACAATTAATGAAATTCAATAATAATATTTGTAGTAATGACAGTGCTAGCTCTAATACTTCAGAGCACGACACTGTAGAGACTTCCTCTTCTCCAAAGGCAGGCACCGCCCACCGTGACCTGACTGCGCCTTCCACCGAAGACACAATCTGAAGCTGACCGATAATGCTCTTCGAAGCCTCGATCGGCTCCTGGAACTTGCGGTTGCGACGTCGATCCAACGTCCGCAAGTTCGGTTTTCCAAAAAAACTTCACTCACAACACTCGCGCGCGAGTCGAATGTCTGCCTTCTAGAAGTGGGCGATACAAATCGTATCAGATATGAAAACTAGATATTAGTACAATATCCGAATATCGCTTACTGGCTCGTTCAATATCTATGTATTTTACAATATCTGATATTTCCGAAATCTGATGTACCGTGCTCGCTCGCTATACCAACACGAATCGCGATACGGCGATATCATACGCGTTTGCCAAAATATCTGATTTTTAAACAGATTTCGAGAGACAAAGCGCGTGAGATACAAATACTCACTAGTTAGAGCGGGACGGCAAGCAATGCACGATATCAGATTTTTAAACAGATATTATGAATAAGTTAAGTAATTTTGAATCTTAACACCATGCAAATAAGATCCGTTTCATTTAAATACTAATCTTGGTATCAGCGATTACTACAACGATATTATTATATTTTTATTGTTTTGTTTAGCCTTGAGCCGTAACGGGCGACAAAGCGCGCAGTTAAGTAATTTTGAATCTTAACAGCATGGAAAAAAACTCTGTTGCATTTAAATATGAATTACGGTATTAACGATGTCTTTGAAATGCATTGGTACCTAGCACGTAATAGTAAGGGATGCCAACTTACTACTTAAGAATTTTCTGCCTAAATTAAGGAAGAAAAATATACAATGGAAATTTTTTAGGAGGTAAATTTTTTGTGAATATTTTTATTAGCTAAATTTTATTCATATTTTTGGAAAAAAATAAAAGTACACAAAAAGAAAAATATAATTTCATAGTGCTGTGCTGCTTTGGTGGAAATCAGACCAAGGCTTATGTGCCTTGTGTGTATATTTTAAATTCTTCCGCCCTAAGCTATAATACTGAATGTATTATTTCTTACACAAATAATAAAAATATTGCCACTCAATTGCGTGTTCTAAAAATATGTTAAAGTCAATTATTAAGCGGTATATAAGATCTTAAAATAAATCATTTTTATATTACTTCAATTTATATTTTTAATGAAATTTTTAATTTAATAATTTAAAAAAACGCATTTTTAGTAAGACAGGGTTAATTATTAATGATCGTTGAACAAGACTTTCGACGAATAAAGTCAGAGAGCTTACGTTCCTAAACGTGAATTTGAACCCGGAGGGATATAAATAATTATTAACCCTGACATAATTGTAAATATATAATGTTAAGTTTTAAATATAAGGAAAATTATGTACATAGAATGAATCAACTTTTAAATACGCCTGCACAATTTTATATTTATAATAAGTATGAAATATTGCAGCCAGTCCTAAGCCTGGAAAAAGTATGAAGGGAAGTTATTTCATTCATCTTATATCCACTCCCTTAAAGTATACAAATTTTTTTTTTTTTTTTTTTTTTTTTAGAATTCAATTAATCAACGTGGATAGAGAACCGTAAAATATCTAGATATTAAAATACATAGTTTCGAAATCTGATATTTGAAATCGATATCGGATTCAGAAAAAGCGATACGCTGACTATTCGGCAACGAAGGACTATGTACAAATTCAAAGCGGTTGTATTTTAGGTCCGTGAGGTTAATTGAAATAAACAAGGTTCACGTTGCAAATTTTTTAATCAACAATTTTTGCGGACCCTCATACTAATTACAACGGTCAAACCATAGTGTGTTTTAATTTACTACTAACGCCACCTATGTATTACAAATAAGAAACTAAATATTATACAAAGCTAAAATGAAATAATTGTAGAATTTGTATTTATGTGTATGATACCTTCATACCATCTTTTTTTGTTTAAACCGCGCTAAAATTCTTTTGTTCAAACTTTGAGTGTTTTATACATCACTACAATTTATTTTCCCTTTTTTGATTTAAATGGACTATAATCATCATCATACTCCTGCCCTTATCCCACCTAGGTGGAGTATGCACAACGTGTGAATCACATTGTAAGCGTTTTTTGGCTATTTGTTCAATGAACTACAGTGAAAAATTAAAATAAACTTAAGAAAAAATATACACACCCGCGAACGGCATAGAGGACAGTATGCCGATCTCCTTAATGGTCATGCCCAGGTCGCAGGTGGCGGCGGTCGCGATGATGCCCAGCCCAAAGATGTCGATACCCATTGCGACGATGATCATAAAGCAAGCGAAGAGAAGGCTATAGTTGTATCTGCCGTGACCTGAAGACATGCAATGATTTTTAAAAACGGGAACGCAAAGTTTTTTTTTATCTGAAACGTTGCCAAACGAGCAGACGGTTCACCTGATGGTAAGTGAATACCGCCGCCCATTGACATCTGGTACACCCGAGGGTTACAGATGCATTGACAACCTTTTGAAAATTGGGCTACCTCACTCACCAGACGAAACGCGAAAGTATTTGTCTTACTTCCACTTTACGCCGGTCTTCTGTGGGGTCGTGGTACCTACCCGGACGGGCCTGCCCAATCGTGCAACAGCCGAGGCTCTACTACCGTTTTTTGGAGTAAAGTCCAAAGTGAATTTTTGGTTGCATCTATAGTCTACGTTATATTGTATTATGGATGTTATATTTTTTGGCGCGTTTGGAAAAACAAAAAAGAGTAAAAAAAATTTAATCTTGGCGACCAATAACAACTTTTTGACATTGACTACATATTACATTTCTTGGATTTAATGGCTCGGAATCGTAGTTGCCAAGATATACTGTGGCAGGGCCACGCAACAGTTTTCACTGTCGCACGAATGAGCAGATCCGTCCGAGTAATTACCACGACCCTACAAAAGACCGGCGTAAAGTGTTACACTTCTGCGTTTCGCCTGGTAAGTGAGGTAGCCGGGGCCCACTTTATATTTAAACATGGGAGGCGGTTATTACTTAACATCAGGTGAATCGCTAGCGCGTTTACCACTTTTTCACATAAAAAAAATCCAAATGCTAAAAATTCGACACCGGGGGTCACGGGATAGATTTCCACACTTAAGAATTATTGCGATTTACAATTAATAGTTCCGGCCGGATCTTTATTTCTTCCCAAGGAGTTTTGATGTCAGGTAACCTAGCCAAAACTGTTTACAATATCATATTGTATAATACAAAAATATATATATATATATATATATATATATATATATATATGTCCTGTCCGCTCTGTATAATGCTACCGTATTTGTTCAAATGAATTAAATTTCATATATAATAACCGTTGCGTGAGATCGTGTTTATCTTAGAATACATATCTTAGGATATCTTAGGATTAAAACATTAAGTATTAATGAATTTAGTTTCATTCCAGGCCTAATTTTAAAAATAAAGGGTTATAAGTTCTTTCTATAGGGAAACTAATTTATAGCGATTGCGGTTATAAAATGGGCCAACGTCATTCATGATAGGGACGCTCAAAGTGTGACGTTCTTACAGTTAGCTACGATAGAATTTACCATCGAGGTCACCACGTGTTTCGAAGTAAATTAGTATTTTCTAAGAGGCAACAAAAGCATCCACGTGTCAATCTACCGCATAAGCCTTAGTAAATAAATTTAAAGTCCGTTCAACTTTATGGTGTGTGGAATGAACATTTCACACATTTAAATATCCATATATGTACGTATATGATATGAAGTTATTGTAATATTGGTGACATTTTAAACAATGAATGACGAACTCGTTTTATGTGATATTTTTGCTATATGTAGTGTGTTTTATGTTTCATTCATTCAGCTTTATTCAATCAATATCTTAAGATCTATAGAATACTGGAATATAATCAGAATATTGAAAACAATTCATATTTTTTTCTTCATAGTGGAAAGCACTAATTGAGCATTAAATTATTGATTAGGATCACTGGGTGATAACTAGCTCAGATATCAACTTTTAGCAGGTTCTAGGCCCATACTGTTAAATTAACAAATTTTATATTTTAAAAATAATTTTATCTTTTTTTTCTTCGTAGATGGACAGTACTTATTGGCACTAAATTATCCATATCTCGGCGGTTAGCGTTTTAAAATGCTAGCTTTATCAAAAGTCAGCAGTTTTTTTTTGTAAACCTATTTCAGCGTAAAATTCAATTTTGCAGCATTAAACTAGCACTTAGTTTTCTTTCATGCATGCATTCCTCGTGTTTAATATTCTATGATTGTTTTGGAATATTTTGTTATGATCTTGTCTGGCTGGGTTTATAAATGAATTATACATTATTTCATTAGTATTTTTTCTTATTTTTAGTTATCTCGTACCCGTCGTCTTCTAACATCAGAAACATTTTTTACTGGGACGTTTAATTTTATTTAGCCATAAAAGAATTAAAGCCTTTTTGTCATAAAACAATAATACCGTGCCCGTTTCAAATTATTGTCGCTGCAGAACTGTTTTAGTATAAACAAATTGCTTGCCTTGTCATGGCCACCACCAAAACAGGAATGAAAATGTCGATGTGACTTTATAATTATTGAGGGGTCTTTTTATTTACGAGAAAACAGGTTAATAATGCTTGATCCTTATTAAATGTGTAAATCTACCTACTTTGTTTTGATGTGTTGATATTTAGTTATTACTATGAATTACACCACCGAATCAAAATTGTTATCGTTTAATAAAGTACGTTAAAGGGATATCTTGTATATATTTTAGCAAATATTAGACATATTAAAATGAAACAATTTTACACATTTTATCGTGTTATGTTTTTACGTTAAATTCTCGACTGTACAGTGTCGTTTTCACCGGACAAACTGAGTTGTTTTGACGCAAATACAAATTGGGCCACAGTTACTTAACACATGGAAAGCTGATTTTAATAAGCTTATTTTAATCACAGTCCTGGCAATATAGATATACATATGCGCCAAAAATGCAATTGAGGCTTACGCGCTTCTAAAGATTTTCTCACTACACAGTTTCTTATCCCACACTAGATGGGTCTGGCAAAACATGTACTTTCCTTCCACTTTCCTCTATCAGCCGTAATCTCAATACTGCCTTTGACAGACATATCATTCTTCACACACTCCGTCCAAATCTTTTTCGGCCTTCCTCTAGTTTTGCACAATCCAACCACGTTCATATTCATCATTCTTCTAGTCCTTATTTTCTCAGTCGCTGGTGCCATTTTTTTTTTGTGGATGAGCCACTGTTGGCCTTAGGGGCGCCTAGCCTGAACCTCGGCACTGGTGCCACGTTCAAGCTTTCCCTTATATACTCATTTCGTATCGTATCCTTTGTAGTCACACCACGCATCTATTTTTTTATGCTTTTTTGTTGCTGTAAAATTTTTCGATTTTGTTAAAAAGACCTTTGAAAAACCTATTTTTACTTAGTACCTTAATATACATTAAAAAAAAAAAACCTTAATAATACTGATATTTAAGACTTTTACCTTTGTTAATTTCTATGCAAAATACCTAAAATATCTTTTCGAATAGGGAGGCTCGTCCGGGTAAGTACCACGACCTCACAGAAGACTGGCGTAAAGTGGAAGTATAATACTTCCGCGTTTCGTGAGTGAGGTGGCCGGAGCCCAATTTTCAAAAAGGTTGTCAACACATATGCAACCCTCGGGTGAAGCAGATGTCCATGGGCGGCGGTATTCACTTAACATCAGGAGAACGGTCTGCTCGTTTGGCAACTTTTCACATTAAAAAAAAATCTAACATTCGTGTGTTGTATCAATTTGAGAAAGTTTATAATTTAAATTCAGAATAACTTAAAACGTTTGCTAGCAGAATAAAAAATAAGTGAGTCGAGCGTGCCTCATATCGAAACACGTTTATAATGCAAACATCTTCATTCTTGGTGCGTCGCTTAGGTGGTATATTTACATTTATCAAAATTAATAGTGAGTGTGCCTTGCAAATTTTGTGAAATAATCTGTATACATTTATCATGAGATCATGGGAATATGTTAGTAAATGGCAGTAATAAATTATTTTTGTAAGATAACGTTTGCTACAATCATTTGCAATTGCGCCTACATGCTGACTTTAACAATCCAAATAACTCTGATAATTTACCAGTTAAATCTAGTGCCTCCTCGTAACTGACCGCCTTGTCCCACACCTTGACGGTCTGGCCTTTTTCACTCATCTCCAAGTCGTCGGTCGACCTCACATAACTCAAATTATCTACGCCCATTTTTGTTTTTATTTCACTAACTGCGAACACGGTCGAAAACTAGAAAAAAATTCTCGTTATCTTTTAAATTTCTAAGTCATTTTCTCGGTGATTGGTATTTAACGTTCGTAAACACACAGCCGGCAAGACCGTCACGTCGCGGACACGAAAGCGATTTAAGTGGCTCTTGAGGCGTTATGTTATCTGCAGATAATGCTTTGCTTTTGAAGGCTTCATGCCTTAATGATCACGAGACAGAATACATTTAGTTCGCCTGTCTTTTTTTTTTAACTGTTGCACGTGTCTATAACTAGTCGATAGCGATTCTTGTGATATGAACAGTGTTGTCGCCTAATTTTAAATATTGAAGGTTACTCTTCACCTTTATTGTTCTTTACTTTCTGTTTACGCCAAAAATAACAAAGACATTAATAGATGCTCGATTTGGTTAACACTGCTTTCTTATAAAGTATTTTTATTTAATTATGACCGAACCCAAAAAATAATAATTTTTCTAATCGGTTCATGAATGATGGAGTTCTGAGGTAAGGAACAAAAATAAATAGAGCCGTATTTAAATCTTCCTCCTTTTTTTGAAAACGGTTGAAAATTTGATTTATACCCTAATGTACTATATTTTTAAGACATAGACTACAATATTGCGTCAGACGCTAGTACTCATAAGACAAGTCAACTGAATATTAATGACTATTTCCCGGATCTAATTTGGCACACTCGACTTAGTAGATGCATTGAAGATAAAACTGCGCATTATACCGTCGTACCTCTTGTGTTCTATCAAATATCACAAGAGGACGGTTATCGACTTTTAGGAATCATACATAAAAGATAAAACAAGTTTTCAATCATTTTTTGTAAACAGAAAGTTTAAAAAAATAATTTCGCTCATATTTCTATTTCTTCACTTTAATTTTTTTGTAATCTTTGCTTAGCACCTACCATCTCTTTTTCACCTTGACAAGGGTTGACTGGTAGAGAATGCCATTAGGCATTAAATCCGCCCATTGTAGCCCTTAGCTTAAGTTGTAGCAATAAAGCTTATAATAATTTACCTTTACTAATACATGTATATCTTATACTTACAAAAAGGAAACTTTTGTTCTCTTATTCATATTTGTTTATCATCTCAATCATCTTCAACGAGTACCAATAGTAGAATCGATGCACTCGGTCACATTTAAGATCACGGGGGCGTCACCAGGAGTCTCGTCAGACGTGTTTATTTACTACTCATCAACGTCTATCCACTCTACGTTTTCCTCTACGTAAGAGAAAAGCGTCAAGTGGATAGACGTCGATGGACTACACATAAGTTCTCCTGTGGTCTCTTGGAGATCGTTTGATGCTTTTAAAATCACTTAAAGCTGGCGCCATAGTTGAAAATGGCCCGAATAAGCGTCAGATTTCCTTGAGAGTATGGTCAGGATAGTGACTACGTGTCGAAAACCTCAGCCCCACTTACATAGTATGGTTATGTTCCCTAAATGGAATAGCCATGACATTTCTACAGGGAGGCTTTTATAAGTGTATCCATTTTTTTTAATTAAATACTAGACGTGTTTAAATCACTCGTAATTAATTAAAAACATTCATTTGAACTTATCTCAAAAAGTGTAGTGTGATTAATTTACTATTGTTTAATCGAAGAAAAGTGATGAACAAGAGTTGTTTGATCATCATTATATTATTATTTTGGCTCGAAGAATTGATCGTAAAAAAAAGAAGAGGCAATCGAATACACAGGATTAATTGATAGTTGTAGCATCAACAACCACATTGTTGTTGTTATTAAGTTAATAGAGATTTATTTCCGCTTGGGTAGTATGGTCAAAGCGGAAGCGAATGACAGTAAAGGCAGACCCCACTACCGTGTGGGAATAATAGCTGCACGGGAGAGAGAGAGAGGGTAGTATGGTCAAAAGCCTATGCGCCTAATATCAGGTAGGTACTGCTCTGGTATTATACCAGACCGGTAGCTGGTATTCGATTTCGAAAGATGCTTGCAAAGGACCGCTTCGAAATTTTAATCGGGGCCTGACAAACATTATCACGTGGTAAAAGAAAACATCGTGAGGAAACCGGCATAGTTTGAAATAATAAAAAAAGAATGTGCAGATATCGCAAATTACATAAAAAACGCCAAGCCGCAGTGGGGCTGCGTGGTGGACTATGTTTATATATTTATAATATGTATTTACTAGCGACCCACCCGGCTTCGCACGGGTGCAATGTATTATACATACATACAAACCTTCCTCTTGAATCACTCTATCTAGTAAAAAAAATCTCATCAAGATCCGTTGCGTAGTTTTTAAGATCTATGCATGCATAGGGACAGACAGACAGCAGGACGACTTTGTTATATTCTATGTCACCACGCCGAGATAGGCTTCGCGATCACATAATCGGTCGTCATAAAGAATTCGGGCCGTGCCCAGATCTAAAAATCCGTGTTAGATCCCGCAGCGATCATTTTATCATAATTCGCGTATAAACATTTGAATTACGTTTACGAGACTCGCGAACATTACCGGATTCATAAACGCACCTTCATTGTTAAGGCTTGAGTTAATATATGCGTATTATAAAAACAAAATCCACAGATTTTGTAGAGCTAGCGAATATGAAATTTGGCACGGATTTTTTATGACTTTCGGAATGGAGATCGAGTGATCGATAAGGCAGGCAGTTATAGGGATGGGCAAGTAAAAAAATATATCAATATATATTTAAATATATATCGATATAGTTTTTATATACGTATAAATATCGTATAAATATCGTATAGACATGAAGAAAATAGTTGAAAAGAGTTTTAAAACTTAACAATGCGCGAGGAGCATGCATAGAGTATCTATTAGCATTAAACACGATATCATAGTTGTGTTAAAATATATCGAGATTTACACGAATTCGATAGTCTAAAATAAATATCGAATATCGATATATCGCAAAAAAATATCGACGGTATATATCGATAATTGTACGGAAAAAGATCAATATTTTTATGTCGATATTTTTTGCCCATGCCCACGCAGAGAAATACCGAGCATAGCCCGCTCCATAGCTCGTTGAGCGACTTTGAGCTTCCTCATACGGCCAGCAGGGAAGGACCACGTCTCGGTTCCGTAGATCATCACTGGCAACACACATTGATTGAAGACTTTAGTCTTCAAACATTGAGGTATATTCGACGAGAAGATTTGCCGAAGTTTCCCAAACGCTGCCCATCCGAGTTGGATTCGCCGATTGACCTCTGCTTCGAAGTTGGACTTACCTAGCCGGACTAACTGTCCTAGGTAAACGTACTCGTCAACAACTTCGAGCTCAGTGCTCCCAACGACAACCGGTATAGGCATGACATGGACATGAGACATAGTCATCGTCTTGTCCACGTTCATCTTAAGGCCCATTCGTTGGGAGACACTGTTGAGGTCATTGAGCATAGTACCAAGGTCCTCCAGCGATTCTGCCATGATGGTTATGGTTATCATCGGCAAATCGAAGGTGGGTGATGTATTCGCCATTGATGTTAATACCAGTCCAGAAGCTTGAAAACATCTTCCAACGCAGCGGTGAAGAGTTTCGGGGATATGACATCACCCTTCTGCAGTTGGATAGGTTTTGTACTACTAGACTGTACTTGGACGGACATCGTAGCCTTATTATACAAACACCTCAGCACCTCGATATACCGACAACTTGGCCGTCAATTTGGCACCGCTGAAGAGCCTGGAGTACCGCCCAAATTTCGACAGAATCGAAGGCTTTCTCATAGTCCACATACGCCAGGCACAAAGGCAGATTATACACTTCGGTCTTCTGTATAATCTGCCGCAAGGTGTGTATGTGGTCTATGGGACTGAAGCCTTTTCGCAATCAGGCTTGTTCGGGAGGCTGGAAGTCATCGAGTCTGGAAGCGAGAGGATTCAAGATGACTCTTGAGAACAGCACATAGACGCGGATCAGAAGGGATATCGGTCTATAGTTCTACAAGGGAGAGTTATCGCCTTTCTTGAAGAACAGCACCACCACATTTCTGCTCCACGCCTCTGGTGTAGCACCACCCTGAAGGACGAAATCAAAGAGCCTCTGAAGGACTACAAGTACCGGTTCTCCACCCACTTTCAGAAGCTCTGCTGTAATTCCGTCCTCTCCCGATGCTTTGCCATTCTTAAGATGGTCAAGAGCCATTCTAATCTTGCTCTGACTGACGTCCGGGATATTTTCGGAATAGTGTCGGATAAGCTTTGCTCTTGGGTCGTTACTCACACATGTGTTCCGTACCCTTTAGGTACGGAACCCTAATAGATAATTATCTTACCGGTAATTACCTCATACTCTACGGAACGTAAGAATACAAAGATTTTTTCCTTTTTTTTTCACCTCATGTTAAGTGATTACCGTCGACCGTAGACATCTATCAAAATTGTGAGGCTGCTGATGCGTTGCTAAACCTTTTATAAACGTGCATTTCACGCAGGTCTTCCGTGAGGGTGTAATAATTCCCCGGACAAGACTGCCCATTTTGCAACACAATTTTCTGCGTGGCTCTACCACAGTCTACACACTTCTAGCTTAAGTCTGTCTTTTGTGAGGTCGCGGTATTTCCCCGACACGGCCAGTTAATAATTAATACTAGTAATAACTGTACAACCTTAAAGATTTGTTTCTGATTATTTGTTACTAAGGACAAATAATTATTTAATAACATTTTTAGTAATTATGTAATAAATGAATACCGAACTCATTGTATACTTATTTTTATATTTCTGCGTTGTGAAATCAGATTTTTATTGCTGGTCGAAGGAACGTCACAGTTAGAAAATGAAAAATTGCTTACAAAGCAATTATTAAAAATATTTCTCATGTAAGCATGAGAAATATATACAATTTTTAATAATATTAAAAGTGACTAAAGTTACCCAAGTTTATTTTAATATAACTAAATTAACATATATTATTTCACCTTCTTATTTAATGGACTAAATGAATGAACAGTATAATATAATAAAAATAATAATAAAGAAAGATTATTTAATGGACTTACACCCAACAATACAAATTGTACACACTGTATATTACAGGACTAGAACAAGACATTACTAATGAAACATTGTTAATTGAACTTATCTATTTCAATTTTAAAGGAAATTTTCACAATGACTGCGGATTTAGGTACCTCCATTATTTATTGACGTGAGCAGCTCATACTTCTTTTGGCTTGTCTGGAGGAAGGAAAATGGAGGCAATAACGGCGCCTGCAAGAAAAACAACGGCAATTAATCATTATTGCAGCAAATTCTCGTAACGATTTTTCATAAAGCGATTGATAATTGTTTGAATCCCTAATTCGGAAATGTTTCGGCACTGAAATATCATGATTGATAAATAAGAAACACACAATATTCGTAACAATTTTAACAAAACTCGGTAAGTAGCACAACCTCACAGAAGACCGGCGTGAATTGCAAGTGTTAACTTTCTGCGTTTCGTCTGGAGAGTGAGCTAGCCGGGCCGGGGCACACTATATTAAAAGGTGGCAACGCATCTGCAACGCGACGGGTGTTGCAATTGTTCATGCGCGGAGGTTGTCACTTCATTAGATTCCTTAGTTAGAAATAATTAGAATACGGCACCATCATATGGAGCCCTAATTATCAAATACACAAAGATCGTATAGAAAGCATACAAAGACGATTCAGTCAATATTATTCTAGTGGTAATCATATGGAATCCTATTTTCCACTCGTCTCCTAAAACTAAAATTAAACTCACTATCGGACAGACGTAAACTACATGATTTAGTTTTTTTGTACATGCTTACAAATGGGACTATAGATTCTGCAGAATTACTAACACAAATATTGTAAGTTCCCTGCCGTGTACCAACTTTTTCGATTCCCTTACTCAAACACAAATTGTATAAAACTAATCTTGTCCTTAAAGATAAGACTATTGACTTATTTAGCGATAGTTTAAAAACTTTTAGAGCCAAAATTGTCAATCTATTTAATAACTTATAGTAAAAATTATACCATAACTTTATATAAAATGTTGTTATTTTTACATATTTTAAAATTTCATATTTTTCTTATTGTCTTACTGCTTTTGTGTGTTTGATATTAGTATTTTACTCGTACTTGTAACAATTATTAAGTTATCGTACACTTATCGTCTTTTTAAACATGCTGTAACTACCTTTAAATGGAAACATGTAAATCTTAGTTCCTAAGCCTATTGTCATATTTTTTTTAAATCAACATGTTATTCCGTTGGTGGTTCTATCAATAAATAAATAAATTAATATCAGGTGAACCACCTGTTCGCTTGCCATCTTCTCACATAATAAAAACAAATCTTCCAAGAAGGATAAACACTGCAATAACTTTACAACCGGTTAAACGTTTCGTAGTGTGATTACGAGTAAATTCAGACAAGTGAAGGGTTGCAAGGCTACTAAAAGATGACAATGGACTCCCAACTTCTGGAGATGCTAGAACACTATATAATATTATCCAAATATTTTTAAGCAAGTATTAATTTGTGTTTTTTGTTTTTTAATTTGTTTAGGTGCTTCTGTAACTAAGTTAGTGCAATGAGTGATATTTACCTAAGTGTGTAAATACCCTACCGGGCCTCGGCAACTTGTAGCCGACAACCATCTCGTTTTATTAATGCTTGTCATCATTCGTGCTTTGGAACAAGCTCGTGGAAGCTTAGCTACTCTACGTTCAATGAAGCTGTATACAGTCTATTTTTCTTCTTAATGCGAAAATTCGTCAATCACGCAATTGATTCATCTGATGTTGAGTGAATAAAGCCGCTCATGGGCATCTACCACTCACGGGGGCTTGCGGATGCGTTGACAACCTTTAGCAAAATGAGCCCCGTTTACCTCGCTCACCAGACGAAACGCCAAAGTTTAATTCTTCCACTTCATGACTGGACTTCTGTGGGGCCGTGGTACTTTGGAACGTGAGTCTATCATATAAGAGTTCTAACGTTTTTACCTTGACCCTAACGTTTTGAACTTGAATATTATCAATTATTATAACAACCAGCAGAAATATTGGTTATAACACTGTCCGGGATCGCAGCCGAAATCCAAGTGACCAGTGCTCCATGCGACTATGTGTCCCTTGGCTCAAGTAGATAACGTCATATCCGGTATATAGTGTTGCCAGTGCCAACAATCACAGGCGTCAAGTGAAGCCTTTCGTCTGTCGAGTGAGGTAATCGGGGCTCAATTTATTGACAGTGGGCAACGCGCTTGCTAATTTCTTTTTTTTTCAAAAATATATTTACAGATAAATACTCACTGAATGTGAAAGCGCTTACGAGATAGAAGGAAGCGGTGCAGTGTGGAACAATGTAGGCTCCTAGCAAGTTGACGCCGAAGACAGCGCTGCTGCGGGCTACCATTATACCCACGCATGAGGCCATGCCCCTGAAATTCAATAAGACCTGGACATATTATGTCTGGTAGATAATCGATTTCAAGCATAAATACGGTGCACCAGGAAAGTGTTGGTTGTGGTATAGACACTAAGTATAGTTAGTCCTTAGTCCTTTCCGTCACTACATCCTTATTTATAAATTTCTTTTATTTTTATTCTTTGTTTTACTTTTATTTTGTTTTTATATTAATATTTTTTTCCTCTTGTAATTTACTCTTAGGTTATTTAATTTATTTGGATTGGATTGACTTAATGTTTGTTCACAACATAGCTGTTGTACAGAAGAGTATTTTATATACTTTTTATACCGTAGTTCGAACGGAAACGATAAAAAAAAATAAAGCCAACCGAGTTCAACTACAAAGTTTGTTATATTTAAACGCAGATGTTGCTGATATAAGAATGTTTACAGAATATTCTAAGCGGCTAAGCGATAGTTTTATTTCCTAAACACTCGTTTAAACCGTTAGGTCTAAATGGTGTTAAAACAATTGGTCATCAATTCAAACTGACTTTTCCAGAAAACAATCTTTCCTACATTTTGTTGCGAATTGTTGAAAGTTAATATGGATAGAAATAAATAAAAACACTAAATAACTTTTAGACCGTTTCTATTGATATTTTAAAAGTATTGTTCATATTAAATGAAACTATTTTACGGATTTTTTGGCCTTTTAATTTTGATTTTTAATCACCGACGTTTCGAATCCTATCCAGCGTTCATGGTCACGGGACAGACCGCGTTGTTTAGAGTCCTGATGTCAAAGTTAACCCGGGCTACCGTCTATTATTGTATTATTTATTTTTATTCCGATCTACCCGAAAGGAGATTATGGTATGAGGTCTAGCTGTGTGATCCCAATATGAGCGAGATGAAAAAACAGCAACGTACGTAGCGGTCTCTAGTTTGGCTCGGTGCTATTATTTGGGTGCAGACCGCGAGTATTTCCTTATGGTCGAGGAAATACGAGGAAAATTGCAACAACCCTCCTTATTTTTGTCGGGTCGGCTTAGACACATGTTTTTCATGTTTTATTTGGTACACAAAATAGCAAACAGTACAATAAAGTATACATTACAATAAAGTTAAAAGTGGTAAATGATTTACACTAGACAATTTACACTAGATTAAGAAAAACTGCTAAGAGACATAAAATTAAACGTTTATAAAAATAGTAAAAGAAAAGAACAAAAACACTCATCGGCATGTGTACTTCGTTTGAATGTACTCAGTTGTGTGTTATTACAGAATAAAGTCGATCGAAGAAGTAGTCTGGAAAAACAATGTTCGGCACACCCAGAGGAGGTTACACGGGCGCGGGGTGAAGTCGTAGCTTATTAGAACATCCGCACACACACACATAGAGTAAGTGACGCGCCTACTACACCGGCTTTGCCATGTCATGGCGATATACTCGTTGAATGTCAAAATATTGATATTTTTGCCTACAAAATCTGATTATTTATACAAAGAAAGTGTACATAAAAAGCACGTATAAATTTAAATTATACTTTACTTTTAATAATTTAATGTTTTGTTTATCCTTTGTGACCCATAATTATATTCTATTGTTCTTAATTTTAATTTATTTTTGTGACATAACATAAATTGTTATCATTTTGACTGGATTTAGTAAATATTGTTTTTTCTTTGTTATAAATGAATAAATATAACAAGATAATTTGGCTGAACAGTATTTTATAACACTAAATTTGATAGAAATGCGTAATTATGAATATAAATGTAAATGTATGATCCAAAAAGAACTCACCGATAAGATGTGGGATAAAGATCGACAAAGTAAGAGAAGGCAATCCCGATGCAAAGGGAGCTAAGCAGTACTCCGAAGAAGAAGACGATGCCAAGGATACGCTCTGTCACGTTGACACTGATGACCCCACTGACACCAGAGATGAGGAGAATGCTGATCAACAACATTTTCTTTCTATCGGCCACCGTTGCGACAAGAAAACTACATCCAGTAAAGACTACGCCTTGGATAAGAGCCATCAATAGAGTTTGTAGGTTGACAGGTGACGTGCATACGGTCTGAAAAGAAATAGGATTATTTTTATTTTAGTGACAATCTGCAGTTAAGATGAAATTACAAAGTAAGCCTATTTAAAACAATTGTCTAAAACAATTTCGAAGCTCTGATACTCGAACCTGTGCCTTGTAATTGCTGTTTAATTTTGATACTCAACTCGTGGCACTTCGAATACTTTAAGACAGGAAAATTTCAATTCTAAGTCCTATTTCCCTACTTATAGGGCCCTCACTTTTTATTATTTATAGTATAACAGTGCGTGCAAATTTATTCACACTAATGTTCGCCCATTGTCGCAATTCGACCATAATTAATTATACATGGTAGTGTGTGTAATGTTTTTTTTTTGCACTCCTTCTCTATATAAACTATAAGAGTGGGAAATTTCATACTCCTCCGTCCGCGCAATTTTCGTAAAAAAGGGTACGAAGTTTCGTGCTTCACATTTTAATATATAGATTACTAGCTACCCGCCTCGGGTTCGCGTGGGTGCGATTTATTATACATATAAACCTTCCTACAGAGCCTTGATAGCTCAGTGTCCGGGCGCTCGCCTTCAATTCAATATACTCGAGCAACCTGAGTTCGATCCCCGGTGCCGGCGCCAATGAAGTTTTTAACTTTAAGTGCTGACTTATCACGTGCTCCGCGGTGAAGGAAAACATCGTGAGGAAACCTGCATATTTTCGAAATAATAACAAAAAAAAAAATCTATTTCGAAAATATGTGAAGTCCGCCAATCCGCAGTGGGGCCGCGTGGGGGCCTGATACCCTCTGTATAGAGGAGGCCTTTGCCCAGCAGTGGGACATGTACAGGCTGTTACTTTACTTTTTACTTCGATAAACCTTCCTCCCGAATCACTCTATCTAGTAAAAAAACCGCATCAAGATCCGTTGCGTATTTTTAAAGGTCTAAGCATACATAAGGCATGTAGTGATTTATAGAAACTGCTGTACCTCGTCAGTAACTCGTTGGAAGCTGTGCAATGTACGTATCATGGCGCATAACGATTGTGTGTCATTAGAACTGGTTGCAGTTATTGACTGTGACAATGATGACTCGCTGAAAAACGTTTCAGACAAGAACGGTAGCCAGATGAAGAAACCGTTGTTCCTGAAATCAATATATTAACATTAAGGTATGAATGCCTCCAAAATCGCTTGATTAAAGTGTTAACTAAAAAATTTTATACGGATTATATCGCGTTTTAAAGTAAAAAAAAGTAAAGCAACAGCCTATAAATATCCCACTGCTGGGCAAAGGCCTCCTCCGTACAAAGCGTATCAGGGCATAGTCAACACGCAGCCCCACTGCGGTTTGGCGGACTTCACACGTCTTCGATTTTTTTTTGTCATTATTATTTCGAAACACCAGGTTTCCTCACGATGGTTTCCTTCACCGTGGAGCCCGTGATATGTAAGCACTTTAAATTAACAATTTCATTGGCGCCGGCACCGGGTTCGAACTCAGGTTGCTCGAGTGTATTGAATTAAAAGCGAGCCATCGGACAACAATATCACGGCTCACTATCATCACTATCGCGTTTTAATTTGAGTTTAAAATCCCGGCGTTTCAAACCCTTTCCAGCGTTCATGGCACAGGCTTGACGTCTTCGAAACTTAGATAAACATACCGTTATAGAAGCATTTAATTTTTTAATATGAATAAATAAGAAATTGTGAATGAGGGCTAATCAATTTTACGTATACACTTCTGAATTTAAAATGATAATTACGATATACTTACGACGTGTAAATAACAATTATTATATAATACAGCTGTAGAGTTCTTTGCAATAGTGGTGTCTTAAAAAGTGGCAGCGTCTGTTCTTTGAGGGATTTCAGAAATGATACGTCTTTATTCTTGAAAGAAGTCATCTCGTTTAAGACTATCTTCTTGACCTGAAATGTTCACGTTAACATCATTTAAATTTTTCGTAATCCAATCTAAATGGTTACTTCTTTATATTATGTTTACCTCAAAAATTCTATTCCCCTTAGTTCGTCGTACATTTTCATGCATTGATTATATTGGGATTTTTTTAGTTGATTGAACACAATGAAATATTAGTAGTATAGTAACACTAGAAGGCAATATCAAATACGCAGACACTTATGTGAACTGGAACCTTAATCAAGCCATACTCACTGGATACTCATTACATCCGCCGTTATTCTTGTGAATATACTTCAGCACGTCCAGGGCTTCTTCATGGTGTCCGGCATTGAGCAGAAATTTTGGGCTCTCGTGGAACAATGCAAAGCACAGCAGTGTAGTGCCGAGGGAGGATGCTAATATCAGAGTTAGAAGCCTCCAGGGGGTGAAAGTAATGAAGCCAATGTTCAGAGTAAAGCTCGTATTCAAGGCAATGTAGCCGGTAACTGAGAAAAAAATACAAATAAATAAATCAATGCTTACGATCATAATGCATCAATGCTTAATCATGCATATATAATAGAATGTAATAATGAAGCAAGGATTTCGGAGGTAACAATATCCATTGTTTCTCCTAAATAATAAAAATGCAGTTGCGTTGAAGCGTTAGAGGATTTAGCCCCATTACCTTACTTAAACAAGTCTTCAAAGATGATGCCACATTCCCCCGGAACAGCCCAGATTTAATAATCTTAATAATTTCGAAACCAGCAAAACTTTAGGACTCTGTGTGATGACTCACATGTATATATGAAGTAGGCAGACATGAGGGTGCTGCTAAGAATAAGAATGTACGTGTTCTTGAATCTTGCAGCGCACATTTCACCCAGCAGCGTGTAAGAAATCGACTGGATTCCGCCGGAACTGGAAGCGGATTTGTTTTTAAACTAAATGGCATATCTTACGTCATATGACAAAAACTTTCTTATTATTTTATATCAAATCCAATAATGTGGGCTTATAACTGTCTTTCAAGTATGTTCATTCGTTCTAGGGTAGAGATCGCTAATGGTATCAACAATTCTATATTGTTATTTATTTTTGTTCATTAAATGTTTCATGTGCAAATGTGAATAATGTCCAAGCGAACGGTATTTGTTGTTATTATTATGATTTAACTATCATATCAGAGTGGATACTACTATTTAACGATTTTACGTGGAAAGAATTAGCTTCGTCAATTTTGAGAACGCTTATATGTTGTGGTGGTATCCATTCTCCATTAGCAATTTATGAAGTTAATGAAGTTATGAAGTGTGGCAAACTCACAAACTTGAACTCAGTAACTTGAGAATTGCCAGCATGATCCAATTAAATGAAAAGGCGCTCAGAACAGATGACACAAGGCTTCCCCAAATTGCAATCAAGAGTGCCCTGCGCCTGCCTCGAGTGTCCGCGAAATAGCCCCAAGGATATGCCGTGATGATAGGACCTGAAGAATACCAAATCACTATGTTGATAGGACCTGAAGAATACCTATCAAGGCATAATATCAATATCTTAATTTTAAGTAATATCGAAGCTTCGTGTTCAAGTACAAATAACTAAAAGTCATCCAATTTCATTATTTTTAAGTGATATTGATGATTTGTATTGAAGCACAAGTAACTAAAATGTATTTAATTTCAAGTACAGGATTTTTGCTTAGTCGCTTGAAATTTTATTTAGGAAATCGGATTAGTTCGCCAATTTGGAGAGATGAAGTTCATTTTTAATGTCATGTATAAAAAGTACAATTCAATGATAAGAAACTTTAATTTAATTTTTGTATTAATTATTAATTAAGTAAACAGTATAAGTATCACTAATAAATAACCATATCCATTCAACAACTCCATTGCATTAATCAAACTTTATAACAAAAGAATTGTTGTATATTAAATATTTTGATTATATTTTAGGTCATGCGACCGTATAACGAAAGGGTTTTTTTCATGTGAAAAGGTGGCGGAATCTGCACATGTAGGGTTGCAGATACGTGACCACGTTTTATGAAAATGGTCCCGGCTTCCTCAAGAAACGTGAAAGTACTTCCATTTCAGTCTTCTGTGAGGCCATGAAATTTATTTTTACTTCTTAAAGCATAGCAAAAGCATAGCTTAAAAAGCATGGCGACATCTCTCGTTCGAATTATCGTTGTAAAACAATATTCGAAATTGTTTGTGTGCTGGAAAGGATATAACAATAGATGCGCCAAGCATTGCATCAAATGCTACATAACAATGTAGAAGGAAGGCGTTAAGATTTTCGTCGCTGTGGCTATCAGCCGCTTAGCTCAGTGGCTAGAGCGTCGGGCCGTGAATGCCGAAGACGTGGGTTCGATCTTCCACAGCGGCGACAATCTTTTCGTACTTTTTCTACATGTTTTAATGTTCAATCTTAAGTGCTGAGATTAGCACTATAAAAAACTTTAAAAAAATGTATCAATGAAGTAGAAATAAATAAATAGCCGTACCATAATAAGAGTTGGGTGTAGTCAATAATTGCAAGAAAAATTGTAATTCTTACCCACAAGCGGTATTGTAACCAGCAAGCTCTTCTGGCTATATTCCAGTTTGAGGTCGCAAGTAGCGCTGTTCACGACCACGGAGAAACCAAACAGATCCATTGCCATTGCATTCATAGCACAACACAAAGTTATCAGAAGGCCGATGTGATATTTGCCATGCCCTTGGGAATTTATAATTAATACCAATAATATAAAATGATTGAAGTAAATGTTACTCAGAAAGGACATCTGTCGGTTGAAAATCCTGTACATAGAATACATTTTATAAATATTGAATTAATGAAATAGGCGTGATAGCTCAGTGTCCGGGCGCTCGCCTTTAATGCAATATACTAGAACAACCTAAGTTCGATTCCCGGTGCCAGCACCAATGAAATTGTTAATTTTAAGTGCTGAATTATCACGTGCTCAGCGGTGAAGGAAAACATCGTGAGGAAACCTGCATATTTTCGAAATTATGATTAAAAAAATATTATACAATATTAGCTAGTTAGTAATATAAACGATATTCCTTTTCAATACGGACTTTACACTTTTTTTGTTTTCAACTTGAGCTAGTGGAAAACATATACGTGTTTAAAACTGACTTTAACTTCATTCTTTATCACTCAAAATTAAGACTCACCCGTTAAATCTAATGCTTCGTCATAAGAGTAAATCTTCTCCCCGCGCTCGATTTTACTGATACTCTTATCATTTGGATGTTCAACGTCTCTAATACTAGTATTGCTGAACTCAACATCACCTCTATTTTCTTCGTCGTCTACCATTTTGCCGTCGTATATAAAATCTTATTCGATTATACACTTACAAAATAACACATATGACACTTTTGGAATTAAATTACCCAGCAAGTTCAGTAATATTTACACAGTTGTCTGCAAATTGAACGTAATAGACATTTATCACTATGCGGTCGAATAAATACATCGATAGCCAGCATTAACTCTACCTGTTTCGCTGGTCTTATCAAATTTCTTGCAGTGTAAATATGAAAAGATGTAACATTAACCAAACATACACATGCCTAATAATACCGACTATGGGCGAAGCTATTTTGTGTAATGGCCATAATTGTTTTTTCCACTTCCTAATTTCATAAAAGCAAATTTGTGTCAGTATGGCATCCCTTTATTCTATAATGGCTGAAGAGATTAAGAATAAGGAAAAACTTAGCTTAAGCTTTTAATAATAATAATTTACAGATTTTATCGCGATTTATTTTAATTTAAAACACTTCGATGTTTTGATTGCTTTACAGCATCAGCATTCGGGGTCAGGAGCTGGACGGATACGTCCTGGTGTCATTCTTTACTTGAGCTTGTTGTTACAATTGCACACAACCACTTTTTAGGGTTTGGTACCCAAAGGGTGAAACGAGACCCTATTACTAAGACTTCGCTGTCTGTTCTTTTGTCCGTCTGTTAGACTCTTGAAATTTTCACAGCTGATGATGTATTTCTGTTGTCGCTATAACAACAAATACTAAAAAACAGAATAAAAAAATATTTAAGTGGGGCTCCTATACAACAGACATGATTTTGCCTTTTTTATAGGTAAAGGTACGGAACCCGTAGTGCGCGTGTCCTACTCGCACTTGGTCGGTTTTTTTTTATTTTGAAGGCATAATAACTGGGCAAAACGTTTCTATACGGGTTCGATGATTGGAAGTGAGGAATGAAGTTCATGGAAACTCACAGTCTCAGATGTCGTTTTGCCAACCACTGAGAATCAGCTTCCGGTTTTCACATTAACCGAATAAAAAAGGTTTTATCTATTTATTGGCGGAATTTTTGAAATTACATTATTTTGCAACAAAAACTAAATTGATTATTTACAGTAAAGATAAGCCGTGATAGCTCAGTGTCCGGGAGCTCGCCTTTAATTCAATATACTCGAGCAACCTGAGTTCGATCCCCGGTGCCGGCACCAATGAAGTTTTTAACTTTTAAGTGTTGACTTATCACATGCTCCGCGGTGAAGGAAAACATCGTGAGGAAACCTGCATATTTTCGAAATAATAACATAAAAAAAAATATATATATTTCGAAAATATGTGAAGTCCGCCAATCCGCAGTGGGGCCGCGTGGTGGACTATGCCCTGATACTCTCTATATAGAGGAGCAGTGGGACATGTATACGCTGTTACTTTTACATTAAAGATAAAAACATACTTTTTACTAAACCTGAGTTCTTTATTTTAACCTACAGTTTTTAAAATTGTATTCATGAAAACACCAACCATATAATACATTTGTTTGAATGTCTGAGCGCGATCTGTAAGAAGCAGTTTCGTATCGCGCAGTGCCAAAAGACACTTTATCTATAAAAAAAACACGTTTATAACTATTTTATTCAACAGCTAGTTACGATATTTATCAATATATCTTTATATATATAATTCTTCTGTACGTGTGTATGTCACTGAACTCCCCCTAACCGGCTGGACCGATTTTAATGAAATTTTTGTGTGTGAGGTGGATTCGCGAATGGTTTAGATTCACAGTTATTCAAAAAAGTTGCAAATTTTCGAATTTAAGACGTGTAAACAAGACAACGTTTGTTAGACTCGATGTCTGCAGTATATATATTTTTATTTAAGGGCATTCTGGTAATTTTTCTTCCGTACTCGCCTAATCGTGCAGAAAGAGCCTTGAAATGTATAAGAGGACGGCGGGGAAGTAATATTTAATAACAACAAATATACGCCAATCTTACGCGTCCCAATTTGAGTTTACACTTAAAATATTTACTTCCTGTCAAAATATTTAACTGATGTGCTTTAAAATTGTACAGCTTTAAACATACTATTATACATGACAAGTATGCTACGTCCTAAGTTTATGTGCTCTTACCTGCACACATGAATGACACTTTGGCTTATCACTATAGCTTTCTCTTCATAATCCTTATCAATGTTGAAGCGTTATAGAATTTATTAATTTATTGTTTACGTTTAAAATAAAGCAGTTAGAAAAGCCCGAAGCTATCATGACTTAATAATGTTCAACATTCACACGCATTCAAACACACACACGCATTAACTGATCATTCGTCTCGGATTCAATACTTACTATCTTAATATTTATTGTTTTCGCCAATTAACTTATACGTACGGGAGGTAAAATGAAATGCAGCACTTTTATACATTGTAAGACTGTAATATTAATAATATTCATATAAAAATAATCTTTAAATTAAGTTTCACTGCGGCCGCTCTGGTCTCGTGCTCTTGGGCAGAATTGTGCACAGCAAACCGCTCGCTGCAACAGTCATTAAGCGGTGAGATTATTTGGTCAGTGTGCGGTATAATTCATAATAGGAAAATAGCTAACGTAAAAACTTATTGGTAAACTAAAACATTAAAGACACATTTATTTACAATTAAGAAACATTTATGAAATATATATGTGTGATAGATATAGTGTTTTCTAGTGTCTGGATGTTCAGTAATCAATAATATGGACTCAGTAACAAAATAAAACTATTTATAGGAGTTACCCAGTTATCCATTTATGAATTTTTCAGCCATTGGCGTCTTGCAACTTGCAATTTGCAATAATCACCTCCTTACGTTCTTTTTCGATCGATATGGCATACTGGGCCATTTAGCATACACATCATGTTTGATAAGCTAGTAACGTCTAATAGATACCGCTCATTTATTAATATTTAAAGACTGAAAGACATAGGGTCATTGCCCACACTATTTTACTTTTGTGACCAACTTATGCACCGGCGACAAACAGACCGTAAGGTAACAGGACTAATTGTGGTATGAGCAACTTACATATAAGCAACGTTCCGAACATGTATATAGGAACAGTGCAATGCTGATCAACTAGCGCGCCGAACACCACGTTGCCCACGATTGCGCCCACGCGTCCACTCATCACCGTCACTGCCATGGCTGTTGCGCTGAAAAGAATCATCATCATGATAATCATCATGTCGCTAAAGACCTAGAAAGCCCAGAAATTTCCATTGACAGTCATAGGATTTAACTAAGCCTCATCCGAATATTAATATGTCTTCTAACATGACACAAAAAAAATCTTTCAAATAGTATAGTCATCTAAATTAAGTTACTTCAATTAGGCTGTTTATTTATGTCCCACTGCTGGACAAAAGCCTCCTCTGTACAGAGGGTATAAGAGTAGGGTCCAGCACGCGACCACACTGAAGATTGACAGGTATTACATATGTTCAAAAATATTTTTTGTTAACTATTATTTTGAAAATATGCAGCTTCACGATGTTACCCTTCACCGCTGAACACGTGATAAATCAGCACTTAAAATTAATAATTTCTTTGATGCTAGCACTGGGATTTGATCTCAGGTCGCTCGAGCAAAATGATTAAAAAACGTGCATCCGGATATTGAGCTATCACGGCTTTCATTTGAGTATGTTAAGTATAGTTATCTACTGAATAAAAATTTGAGAAAAATTTGTCGTCATAATTTTGTAATACAATAAGTTAAATATATATAGTCTTAGTCTTGTGCCGCATATACAGTGAGGTTATTTGTGCTAATATTAAAAAAAATATTTAACGTAACGTAAATATTTCGCGTAAACATCACCATGGAAAATAACCACAGGAAAAAATAACGATGAAACTTACGCTACGTTGGTTGGGAATATCTCGCAAATGACGCAGAACAGTACAGCCTCTGTACAGCTCACGATTGCCTCAAATACGCAGGAGAGCAGAAGATTCTCCAAAGAAGACCGCACCAGGTTCAAGCCCAACGCTGCCAGCCCAGAGCTGATCAGCATCATAACTGGTGACAAAACAAAGGGTTAATGAAGTCGTGCTTATAGAACCTGTGAATTTTTCAGTTTAAAAGTTACCTTAAGATTTATCAAGCAGTAGGAAATAAGTCATTACGAATTTTGAGGAGTCAGAGAATTTTTTACCGGCATTTCGATCAGCGATCTGATGACTTCGTGGCGCCGTCGCTAAGTAATTACCTTCGACGTCGGAGGTCATGGGTTCGATACGGGACAAATATTTGTGTTACCAAGAAGGGTTGGCGTCAGGCAAGCGGTCGGTCATAAAGAAAACCTAGCGAAAACCGCTTACAAAATGATTTACTTTTTGGGCCGTCCCCACATAGGTAGGAAAAAGGCAGGAGAATGATGATGGTCTGATGCCAATGAATACCAGTTTAGCATCACAATGGTACGAGCTAAAGATCAAATCGGAGTATCAGAAGAATACCAACACGCCTAACAGGCATGAGTTTAGAAATTTCTTTTGATTCTAAACGAAGATGATGCAATTACTATACTTAATAATGTGCATGTGATTGATTCGTAGATTAAATACCAGTCAAGAAGAAGTTCGTTGTTTCAAGTACCTAGCATAAGCTTCTTGCCGACGACATTGATGGTGAGGCCTACCCACAGCGCCGTGGGCACGCAGCTGAGAGCCACCACCAACGTGTGGATGTATACCTTGTCGTCGTCGTCGATGTTCTGCGGACAGTCTGGCCGACCCTGAAATAATTTAAAGCCCCAATTGTGATTGTTGATTTATATTACATTTTTACATGTGTCGCGGCCACGCAACAGTCTTAGCTATTGCACGAATGGGCAGGTCCGCCCTTGTAATTACCACGACCGCACAGAAGACCGGCATGAAGTGGAAATATTATACTTCTGTGTTTCGTCTGCTAAGTCAAGTAGCCGGAGCCCACTTTATTAAAATGTGCCAACTTATCTGCAAACCTGCTTGTGTTGTAAATGTTAATGAGCGGCGCTTACTCGTATAACTTAACGTCAGGTGAAACAGCAGCTGACTAGCCACCTTCTCACATAAAATAAAAACAGTTAATATGATCTTTCAAAATCGGGTTGCAATAATTGCTTGAAATCTTTCCCATTTCCCATTATATTTTTGTGTACATCATAAGGTTTTATAAGTACAGAGTCGCATTCTTTATTTTCAAGTTTTTTTTTTAAACATTGCCCTCACTTTAGGATAGCATTATCTTGTGTTGTAAGGACGTTTTACAAACATAAATTGCGCAAGGACAAACACCCAGATGCGAAACAACTATCAGTGGGTCGTACAAATAGTTGTCCCGTGTGGGAATCCAACCCACGATCCCCGACGCCGAAGCCAATACCTTGGCAACTGCGCCACGGAGACATGAAATAAGTTGGTTAATCGCTGTTCTGGGATATCCATGCAACTATTTAAGTCGTATTAAATTTAAACAGATGTTTATTTTGAGTGACATACATCTATTTCGCTCCTAGTGACGTTGGCGGAAACCTCACAGACTCCGGCAGAAACACCCTGGTACAGCGACGAGAACTGGCTGAACCTCTCAAATAAATCCGGAAACCACATCATCAGCGTGTAGTAACTGAAACCAAAGACAGATTTAACTCCAGCAAAATAGTAATCCAAGTCTTAAATAGAGTTTGAAACAGAATGACACCTTGCACTATCGACATTTTACAAAGCGAAGGAATATTATTTCTGATGAGCCTTTTGTCAGGTAACGGGTACAAATGCGAGCAACTTACCGATAAATTGAAAGAAAGAAAGAAAGAATGATACGTTTATTTGTTAGAACATGGTACAATATGGTCTTGAAAGCTGTGGATCCTTTATGTTCTACCATTTCTGGTGTACAAATATTACATTTTACATTAAAAACATGCAAAAGAAAACAAAACAAAAGTAAATATCATCATCATTTCAGCCTGTTTGAGTCTACTGCTGAACATAGGCCTCCCCCACAGACTGCCATGAAGCACGATCTTGAGCCACCTGCATCCATCGACTTCCCGCACATTTGCACAGGTTGTCACTCCATCTAGTGGGGGGTCGTCCTACACTGCGATGGCCAGTACGAGGCTGCCACTCGAGAACCTTTCTTTCCCAACGGTTATCGGTTCTACGAGCTATATGGCCGGCCCATCGCCACTTCAGCTTGCTAATCCTCTGAGCTAAGTCGGTTATCTTAGTTCTACTGCGGATGTCTTCGTTACGAACTCTATCACGCAGAGAAATACCGAGCATAGCCCGCTCCATAGCTCGCTGAGCGACTCTGAGCTTCCTCATACGGCCAACAATGAAGGACCACGTCTCGGTTCCGTAGATCATCACTGGCAACACACATTGATTGAAGACTTTAGTCTTCAAACATTGAGGTATATTCGACGAGAAGATTTGCCGAAGTTTCCCGAACGCTGCCCATCCGAGTCGGATTCGCCGATTGACCTCTGCGTCGAAGTTGGACTTACCTAGCCGGACTAACTGTCCTAGGTAAACGTACTCGTCAACAACTTCGAGCTCAGTGCTCCCAACGACAACCGGTATAGGCGTGACATGGACATTAGACATGATCTTCGTCTTGTCCATGTTCATCTTAAGGCACCCAGGTCCTCCAGCGATTCTGCCATGATGACTATATCGGCAAATCGAAGGTGGGTAATGTATTCGCCATCCGACTTTGGAAAGTACTTATTAGAAAAGTGTAAAATTCACACAAATAAGACTCATTTCTAATCAATATATTGAGATTTATCAAAAGTACCACGGATGTAAAGAACTTCCTACCTGAACATCAGACCGAAATCAACGAAGCAGCACAGCACTAGGAGGCCTATGTACGGCGGAGTGACAAGCAACTTCTTCCTGACCCAAAAGGCGTGCCAACGCTTGCTCCAGGTCAGGGGCGCCTTCGTCTCATTTCCGTTAGTGTCTGCAGACACAATCTCCTCCTCCTCACCTTCATCACCAGCGCAGATCATGGACTCCACCTGGAAAAATATTGTCCCTTGTCATGCACTATAAGCTGGAAGATGATAAAAACAATAAAAAGCATTACATTGGCCGAAAACTAAGCAGAAGAGAACTGAAGAATTATGGAGATAGATAGTAAAAAGTAAAAGTAAAAGTTACAGCCGATACATATCCCACTGCTGTGCAAAGGCCTACTCTGTACGGAGTGTATCATAACAAGTGGCCCCACTGCGGATTGGCCGACTCACATATCTTCGAAATATTTTTTTGTTATTATTTCGAAAATATGCTGGTTTCCTCACGATGTCTTCCATCATCGCAGCGCACGTGATAAGTCAGCACTTAAAATCGACGCTGACATCAGGGATCGAACTCAGCTTTCTCGAGTATATTAGATTAAAGTACACACTATGGAGACGTGAAACCTGAATGTGAAACATAATGAGTAGACAGTTACGCTTACCGGGAAGTCTTTCTGTTCTAGCTTGGTGTTGACAGTGAAAATCCTTTGCAGCACTTGAAGCGCTTGCTCCGGCTTGTTTGCGTGTAGGAGATATCTGGGGCTCTCGGGGAATGGAAATATCAGCAATACTACCAACAGACTTGGTATGCCGCACGCAGCGACGAACACACGCCAAGATGTGTACTGGAAATCAGCATCCGGTGCCGTGAGGTTGAAACGAGGGTCCTGGATGATGAGCCAGGCGATTCCTGCGAGGGCAAGTGGCGTTTTTATCAAGCGATAGTGAATCTTTTCTGATTCCATTTATCAAAGTCAACTTCGACTATTCTTCTAATAGTTGATACAGATAATGAAAGTAAACACCATCAACATAATTGTCAAAATTCAGATACATAGAAATATTCAGAAATATGTAAAATTTTAAAAAATTTACCTGGCAATAAGATGGTTCCAAAGGTCCAGAACACTTCAAGTCTGCACAGCATGACATCCCTGTGCCTTAGGGATAGGAAGTCTCCAAAGTACGGGAATATGAGACCCGTGGCACCAATGATGCCAAATCCGGAGAAAAACCTGCAATAAATACAGTCAACTTTAAAAAATGTTAAATAAAGTAACAACAAAATGTATCAAAAATAAAATAATCGAACTCCAGTATTATAGTGTAACTATCATTGGTTATATATTAAAGATTATTACGTATCGTTTAGTGCTATAGGTTTTCATATTCCTTAAATATACTATCGATCAACACAATTATCTACTTAAGTCTCCATGTGTGCCCATTCTCTGCATGTAACACCTTTTCAACATGAGATTACTTTATTCTTCTATAGGGGTATAATTTGAAATGGTAGGAAAGCAGCCATTATCGTATGTTATGCCGACTAATTTCTTACCTGCAGGCCAGAAATGCTGGGAAAGACTGCACCAGACTGGAGAGGAAAGCTGCTAGTGCATCAAGTAGGAGGGCTCCTACGATCGCCTTCTTTCGACCACGCGCGTCCGCTAGGTTGCCCCAGAAGTACGATCCCACGCACATGCCTGCAACAGTGATTATGTTACTATCGATTCCTGTCGACTGTATGTCTGGTTTGAGCAAGAAAATAGGATGGTAATTCTTTTCACTTTGTTACATCTCTAACTTAATAATCCCGGTTATTCTTTAAATGACATAAATTACTACACATTACACTGGTATAGCCACGCTACCGTTGTACAGTGGCGTGGCTATACCAGTGTAATGCGCAGGCTCATCCGGAGAAGCATCATGGCTTAACAGAAGACCGGCTTCAAGTGGAAGTATTATATTATATATATAAGTCTTATATATATTGCGTTTCGTTTGGTGAATGAGGCAAAAGGAGCTTCTTTTCATAAATTGTGGGCAACACATCTGCAGCCCTTTTTTTTTTATGTGAAAAGTTGCCAAACGAGCAGACGGTTCACCTGATGGTAAGTGAATACCGCCGCCCATAGACATCTGCTACACCCGAGGGTTACAGATGCGTTGACAACCTTTTGAAAATTGGGCTCCGGCTACCTCACTCACCAGACGAAACGCGAAAGTATTTGTCATACTTCCACTTTACGCTGGTCTTCTGTGAGGTCGTGGTACTTACCCGGACGGGCCTGCCCGTTCGTGCAACGGCCGAGGCTGTTGCGAGGCCCTACCACCGTTAAGCCTCAGGTTACTGTTAACATTACTGAGTTATTTGTTTATTACCCAACTTTACTTTGAAAGGAATCACGTTGGTGGAAATAGTGTCTATGGACCCAGAGCATATGAGGAAATACGAACCGATGAGCGGTGTGGCAGTGAGCCTGCCCTTGTCGCTAGAGGACAGCATGAAGTCGCACTCGGCTGCCGGTAGCACGAAGCTGAGGGTCGTGGTGCTGAGCGCGCACACCGCGTAGATGGCGCCGCAGGACATCAGCAGAAGCCATTGGAAGCAGCCGTACCCTGCGTCCAATATTCATTCATTAGGTTGCAGTTATAATATGGTTTACATGTCCCCAAAAGAAAGACAGGTGGTTTAGGATGGTCATATGGTGTAATCGCATATATTAGCAATGAGACGCGGTGCCTCCCCTAGGAAGTCTTCAAGCTTTGTGTTATGGTACCAAAGCCTTGATCCTAAAACAGAAACATGGGAAGAGTTCATGAATCTTTTTTATGCGAGTTTAATAAATAAATTTTCAGCTATATCAGGATTCGAACCTACGTCCCTACTGAACTAAGCAAAGCGCCCTATATTTTTATTATATTTGAAAAATTGTAAGTGACAACCGGCGCCCATGGGCATCCGCAGCACTGGAGTCTCTAGATGCATTGGCAACTTTTAGGCCACGGTTACCTCACTCACCGGAAGAGACGCGAAAGTGTAATACTTCGCGTTCACGCAGGTCTTCTGTGAGGCCATGGTACTTCCCTGGACAAGCGTTCCCATTCCTGCAGTAGCGATAGCTGCTGCATGGCTCTATCGGTCCTTAGGCCGCGGACTTTTAAATATCAACTTACAATGCAAACTAGCACAAAAATTAATTTTTTATTTTTTCGTGCTAATCTCTAAACTTAAATAAACACAAAGCACTAAAACTAAAAACAGGTCATCTTTAGGGTTCCGTCTTTACTAAGACTCTGCTGTCTGTCTGACCGTCTGTCACCAGGCTGTATCTCATGAACCGTAATAGTTAGAAATTTTCACAGATGATTTATTTTCTGTTGCCGCTATAACAACAACAACTAAAAAACAGAATAAAAAATATTTAAGTGACGCTCTCATACAGCAGACATTTGCCGTTTTTATTGATAATGGTATGAAACCGGTTTTGGCCGGTTTTTAATTCATGACCACATTAAAAAACTTTGATGACGTCCAACTAGACGACAATTTAATGTACGAAACTCTTGGTGTGGTTAAAAGCTGTGAAGGATTAGCCAAATTTCAGTTGACACGCAAGGCCGCCGCCATTTTGGATAATCGCGGAGCCAGCTTGTTAAGCCGCCGGCTAACGAGATTTAGCGACGAAACCGCAACATCCAATTAAACGGCGGGAAAGATATCCGAAACCGGAGAGCATTTCAGTGTCGTGTAATAGCACGCTAATAGTGTTAAGGTTTCGATGATTTACACGGCTTATTATAATCTTATCGATAAACGCCGTAGATGTTAACTAAATTTAAATTGTGTAGCTTTACACGAAATGATAAACATTTAACCTCTTCAATAACCATTTAAATAATATCGTTTTTTTAGCGTTAACTCGATATAATTGATATATGGCAAACACCCATCGATTACATATAACAGCAGGTGACGTTAATTTTAATATTTAAATATCAGTATCATATTACATGTACATTATTAGATATACATATTACATATACATTTTCTAAACGATTGAGTGCACCAGTTTGCCATTACATATAGTTCATGTTTTAGCAATTACTACTAGATATTTAGCATATTCCCGGTTAGATTATGTTTTAGTAATAGGCTTTATTTATGAAATATAAGCTATTACGCATTTACTTTTTTTTATTACGCACATTTTATCCCTGAATTTACATGTTTTTTTTTATGTGAAAAGTTGCCAAGCGAGCAGACGGTTCACCTGATGTTAAACGAACACCGCCGCCCATGGACATCCGCTACACTCGAGGGTTGGAGATGCGTTGACAACCTTTTGAAAATTGGGCTCCGGCTACCTCACTCACCAGAAGAAACGCGAAAGCATTATACTTCCACTTTACACCGGTCTTCTGTGAGGTCGTGGTACTTACCCGGACGAGCCTGCCCATTCGTGCAACAGCCGAGATTGCTGCGTGGCCCTACCACCGTAGTTTCCAGGTAGATTTAAAAATGAATAGACTAGTTCTACTGTATCAAAAGTAGTAAGAGCTTAAAATAAGCCTATGTTGAATAAAGAAATTTTGACTTGACTTGAATACAACTCGTATTTCTTTTCACAGCTCACAATGTTACCGCGTTCTAACATTTTATGCGACGCGTAGAGTTCGTTTGATTACATAGCAATTATATGTTATCACAATATTATTGGCACACGTCGCCTCGGGCGGCTTTGGAGGTGTATTTTTAAATTTGCGTTCATTGAATCGATATTGAGGACACTTGAGCCCAATCAGCGGGGTGCAAAGACGACGCTTCCGCGACCGTTTACCTTCGCGCGAATGACGTTTACGCGATGCAACCCATCGTAGTTATTGTCGCCATTTTAATCGTTTAGCAGTAAATATACATTGTAATAAACACACTTTGTCCCGGGATGATTGTACCCGATGTCGCAACCTTAGAGAGGGCTGACTGCTTATTTAGTTCAAGTCCGTTTTGTTCTTTCTAATAATCGTCATATCAATATATATTACATATGTATGTAATATATACTACATGTACATACCACTCATTATTATATACTTCTTCCTGCTTTGATGTTATCTAGCAATCAGCTTCTTTATTCTATGAAGTAACGTAAAAATTGCTTATTGAGATTGGGTGGTTAAGGTTATTCAAAACTTTAATGTCCTAACGATGTGTCTTGTTTATTATTTACCTTTGGACATCATTAGGCCCGGCCGATGATATTTGAAATACATACGGAACAATTGCTATTAATGATATCAGAACCAACAACAAGTTACATAAATTTTACAATAAACAAGTATTGCTCGGTGACTGTTATATCTTTTAATACATTTCCTTACATGATCTACAAACATAGATAAAAATTGTTTACATTTTAAGAAATAATTGCCTACGTCATTCATTATTTCTAGAGATTACTAATTACAAGTAAAAAAATCCACCATTTTTGCCACCGGCATGCGGTCTAAAGTGAGAATACGAGTATAATTTGTTCGTTTAGTTAAATTATATTCCGACTAAATGCAAGGCCAGTAGTGAGTAACACTGGTCGATTCCCGCACGGGACCTATATGTGACCTAAAGATAATTGCTTCGGATCTGGACGTTTGATCAAAAGGAAGGTTATCGTTAAGCAACCGGTCCAATATATATGTTGTTGATATCATTTCGAAAACAGGTATGTAGGATTCACGATGTTTTCATTCACCGCTGAGCACGTGATGACTGTTTACTTAAAATTAACAATTTCATTGGTGCCGTCATCGGGATTTGCTCGAGTACATTGAATCAAAACCTAGCTATCTCTACTCAGCGCCCGGACACTGAGCTATCTCGGCTTCTGTCCATAAGGATTCTAAACTTTAAATAATAAATTAAATAAAGAGATCTTTTAAAAAGAGACATCAGCTGTTGTTGTCACGCTCGCGGCCGCTTGTTTATCGTCGGCTCCGCTTGCTGTGATATTAGGTGCTCGTGCTCGGGACTATTTTCGGTGTCCACGCGGCGGCTATTCCCGTCCCGTGGCACTTTGAGCGCGTCGACGCGACAAAGTCCGGATCGCGGTCACAGTGCAAGCGTTTCGCGAACACATAAACACAAACGTTTGAACGTACTATCGTCCTTTGCCAATATCTTATGCTACGCCTTAACATTCTTGATCAATTCCCGGATCGAAACATACCCAGGCATCCGTCAACCATACTTTAGGGTGTACCACTGTTTATCGATGATGAAGCAACGCAGTTTATCTAAATGCTTATACGAAACGAAGATAAAAGAGCTCGTTGAGAGTTCAGATCACGATGCCGTCACTAATTGATGGTAAGTTGAGCAGAAATATCGGAGCAAAATAATTTAATAAATCGACAGTAGCTACGGATAGGGGCATTAAGTTTTGACTGTCCCCAATCCCTATGACAATGGACATAGTTAAATTTTCGTAAAGCTACTACGTTTTCGAATTTCATGCCTAATAAAGCGCGGTGGTAATATTGTGAATACTAAGTGACTCTGTCCATCCCGTAGGGTTAAGAATGTTCAAACAACAAAGGACTTAAATCCACGCAACAGTCTTCGCAGCTGTACGAATTGGCAGGTCCCTCTGGGTAAAGCCCACGACGTTACGGAAGACCTTCGTGAAGTGGAAGTGTTATAGTTTTATGTTTCGTTTGGTGAGTGAGGTAGCCCCCCACTTTATTAAAATGTGCAAATGTCAATGGACGGTGGTCATCGCTTAGCATCAGGTGAACCGCCAGCTCCCTTACCACCTTCTCATTTAAAAAAAAAAACGGGGTGAATATCAAAGCTCATACATTCACTTAAAAATGTAACAAGCGACTCGTATATATATCCCGGCATTCGTTGCGGGACGCGCTCTATTCTATTGTCCAGAGCTATTTGCGTCGAACGATCACATGTGTCTAGTCGGTGTGTATTTATCAACACCGCTACAAATTGAACAACATGGTATGGTGCAAGCGTAAAACTTATATTGTTTTATCATTTCATCTCGTCATCTCGTCTATACACAATTCTAAATCTCGAATCTAGTAGGCTTATATCTAATTTAGATGCGACTTTTAATCGTTTAGGATTCATTTAAAAATATTTTTTATTTTCATTTAAAAACTTTTTGCACAATAGCGTACAATTAGACTTAACACCATTAGGTCTTACTTAGTAGATGTTATCTACCAGTAAACCGACAAATAAATAGAGAAAATAAGGAGGTGCGAAAGAGCCAAATAAGAAGTAATGAAAAATATAATATGATTTTATATAAAATATTACAAATAAAATTATCGTTTTTTTTCTTTAGTTTTTACTGTATTAATATGTTGCATATTTAAATAATAATCGTAAGAGTAACGATATCACCTTACAATATAGAATGTAATCGTTATTATAAGCAATTATTAAGAAGAATATACTATGTTTTAAGTTGTCATGTTACTTTGTGCTTAAGTTTGAGGCTGGTGTAATTTGAAACAAATTTATTAAATAAATGTTTAATTTAAATTCCTAAGAATACTAATATAAGCACTAAATAAGCTGCTTATAACATATACTACAGTTT